ATAATTCCATACAAGAAAGAGACTTACAAGTCTTCACTCACTGCTTTTGGCAGATAATCTATTGCAATATTGGGAATCCTCAGTCTCTTGGTCAGCTGCCTATAAAATACTTCCGAGAGGTAAGCGAGCAGTTTTTTTGCTGCTGGTTTTGTTTCATCATATCAGCTCCAAGATATTAGCTATATCTTGTATCATTTATATCTCTCAGGTTCTCGCGTTGTGTGATAACACAAGCCTTTTGGACGAGTCTGAAACACATGGTTTGTTCAGGTATCCAACTTGATTCTGAGGTTTTCCCTCGCCTTGTTTTAGTTTTAGGACTAGATTGCTTCACATTTTGATATCTACTCTGCTATCATCAGTACCGATTCAATTGACCGAGCATGGAAGATTTTGGACCAAATTCCTGGAAGAGCAACTGGTGCTTACAGTCACAGCCAGGTTTTTGATCTATTGAAAAGTCCTTAAAACTCTATGATTTTTGAATGACTCTAATGTTGTTGAATGATTCCATTTTTTTTATTCTGCCTCAGGGTATTAAGGGATTACGTGATACAATTGCAGCTGGAATCGAAGCCCGTGATGGTTTCCCTGCTAATCCAAATGATATTTTCTTGACCGATGGTGCAAGTCCAGCGGTAACAATCAAAGCAAAAACATTTTGTGTCATGGTTTTATAGAGCAAATCCTTTATAAAAGGTTCATGCTAAATGTTTTTATGTTTCTTTATCATTCTCTAGGTTCACATGATGATGCAACTTCTCTTAAGCTCAGAGAAAGATGGAATTCTCTGCCCAATTCCTCAGTATCCATTGTACTCTGCTTCAATTGCCCTCCATGGTGGATCTTTGGTATGTTCATGTAATCATAGTATTGTCTTTCTTCTTTAAAAATTTTGTCTTTCTTTTGATTGTCGTTTTTTGCTGCTTAGGTACCGTACTATCTAGATGAAGCAACAGGATGGGGACTTGAAATATCTGACCTTAAGAAGCAGCTAGAGGAAGCTAGGTCCAAAGGCATCAGTGTAAGAGCCTTGGTTGTCATAAACCCTGGTAACCCAACTGGACAGGTAAGAACAGATTTTGACAAATACTAGCGTCTGCGATGCCAAATGTTGATACATTTCTCTAATAATCTGCGTTCTTGTTCTCGTTAAGGTACTTGCGGAAGAAAACCAGCGTGACATTGTTGACTTCTGCAAGGAAGAGGGTTTGGTTCTTTTAGCTGACGAGGTCTACCAAGAGAATGTTTACGTCCCTGACAAAAAGTTCCATTCTTTCAAGAAAGTAGCTCGGTCTTTGGGATATGGAGAAAAAGATCTCGCCTTAGTCTCGTTCCAATCAGTCTCCAAAGGTACAACATTTGTTGTCTAACAGTGAAATGCTTGCCATTTAACAAAATTGAGAATTTTCTTCTTATGGCTCTTGACAGGATACTATGGAGAATGTGGAAAGAGAGGAGGGTACATGGAGGTTACAGGATTCACTTCTGATGTAAGAGAGCAGATATACAAAGTTGCTTCTGTGAATCTTTGTTCCAACATCTCTGGTCAAATTCTTGCTAGCCTTGTCATGAGCCCACCCAAGGTATATCATTACAGTTCTTTGTCAACAGGTTCTCGCTAAGTTCTTTATTTCTTGCAACCGATGATGACTAATTTAACCTCTTATATCACTTGATCAGCCTGGTGATGACTCATATGACTCATACATGGCAGAAAGAGATGGAATTCTCTCATCCATGGCTAAACGTGCAAAGGTAATTAGTTGAAGAACATTACAGTACACTCGGAAGACATTTATTCCAGTCTCTTGAATAGTGTTCATATATAAGCTTGACCAATGAATTGTGCAGACTCTTGAAGAGGCTCTTAACAACTTAGAAGGCGTAACATGTAACAGAGCCGAAGGAGCGATGTATCTCTTCCCTCGAATTAATCTCTCTAAAAAGGCGATTGAAGCTGCAGAGGCCGCAAAGACACAACCGGATGCGTTCTATTGCAAACGAATTCTTAACGCCACAGGAATAGTTGTTGTCCCTGGTTCTGGCTTCGGACAGGTAAAAAAGACACAAAATCATCACCAAAATGAAACCTTTTCTTAAAGTTTTCAAAAAAAGGATCGAACTTGAATCTTTGTTTGTGTATGTTTTGCATTCATTGTGGTTAGGTTCCTGGAACATGGCACTTCAGGTGCACAATACTTCCGCAAGAAGACAAGATTCCGGCGATAGTGAATCGTCTTACAGAGTTCCACAAGAGCTTCATGGACGAGTTCCGCGACTAAAAGCACTGTCATGACCCACTGAAGATGAGCTCAATGACCTTTACATAGATCGTTAGAGTGTGATCAATCTGATCAATAAAAGTAAAAAAGAGATCTTTGATTGTTTAATCAGGCAATTGTGATTAAGCAAAACACTTCTGCAGTTAAATTGTACTGAGCTTGATATATAAACTAATTTAATTTTGATAAGTCCTCTTTTTTAAAATGATCATTGGGCTAATAAATGGGCCTAATATGGATAATCCGACCTAGAACCGAATAAAGATTTTCTCGAGAAAACGACAGCTTTTCCCATTTTGAAGAAAATTTCTTTCTAAAGACTGAAAAACACACAAAATCAATGTGGCGAAGATCAGCGTCGTTTATCCTCGACGAACGACGAAGCTCGAATTCACCTCCCATGGCAGACACTACGCGAGGCCCTTTCCCAAACCCTGATTCCATCTCCGCCTACTACCAGACTCGAGCGGCGCATCACGGCGTCATTACAAGCGACTGGCTAGCTCAAGCTCAGGCCGCCGTGGGCGGCGTCTCAGGCGAGGAGCATTCCGTCGCTGAGCTCGGGAAGGAGAAGTCGTTTAATGTGATTGATGAGTTCAACAGCTGGCGAAAGCAGCCGGATCTAGCGGAAGCCGTCGCGGCTATCCGAGCTCTGGCTGCGGTTATCCGTGCGAGCGAGGCTACCACCATGATGGAGCTTGAAATTGAGCTCAAGAAGGCTTCCGATACACTGAAGGTGAATTCAATTTCTGAAATTTCTGCAATATTGGGACTTACACTTCACTGTAGATTGGTCTTTGATCATGTGTTCATTCTCGATGTTGATTAAGGAAAAAACTTGTTTCTGTTAAATTTTTGGCAGTCATGGGACAAAACATCAATCTCCTTGACTGCTGGATGCGATCTGTTCATCAGATACGTCACGAGAACGTCTGCGTTAGAATACGAGGATTTCAATTCAGCTAAGTCTCGTCTCCTCGAACGTGCTGAGAAATTCGGGGAAATATCTTGCAAGGTGCTTCCATTTATGTCCCCTTTGGCTCAGTTTAGTAGTTTTTTGCATCTTGAAATTATAGTATTTAATCAATGAAGTGTACATCAAAATCCATTTTCATCGAAGAGGAAAATCTAAAGGAATGTTCGCTATTACGCAGGCTCGTAGGATTATCGCAATGCTTAGTCAAGATTTTATATTCGATGGTTGTACCATATTGGTTCATGGACTCTCTAGAGTTGTTCTTGAAGTTCTAAAGGCAGCTGCACAAAACAACAAGCTCTTTCGAGTTCTCTGCACAGGTTCCCTTTTAGGAAACACCCTTTACACTTCTCTCTCTCTCTCTCTATATATATAATTTGTGCCCTGTCAATATTGTTTAGCCACTCTTATCACTTTGCTTATATTGGAACTTAGTCTAGTCATAGCCTGTTAATGTCTTGCCTCTTAATGTCTTGCCTAGTCATAGCCAATCTGTTTTGAGACACTTTGTCTCTTAATACTCATTCTCCAATTATAGTAGTCTCTCGCTGAAACCTTTTAAATGAAAAAAATTTACAGAGGGAAGACCCGATGGAACCGGAGTTTTGTTATCGAGTGAGCTATCGAAGCTCGATATCCCGGTGAAACTGCTGCTTGATTCTGCTGTGGCGTATAGCATGGACGAAGTGGATATGGTGTTTGTTGGGGCTGATGGAGTTGTAGAAAGTGGTGGTATTATCAACATGATGGGAACATACCAGATCGCACTCGTCGCACACAGCATGAACAAACCGGTCTATGTTGCCGCCGAGAGTTACAAGGTAACTGAAATGGTTTTATAAGATCCAAGAGAGAGAGAGAGAGAGGTTAGTTAGTGATATGAAGTTGTTGTTTTGCAGTTCGCTAGGCTTTACCCGTTAGACCAAAAGGACATGGCACCGGCGCTGAGACCGATCGAGTTTGGTGTAAAGATTCCGGCAAAGGTGGAAGTAGAAAGGTCAGCTCGAGATTATACTCCGCCTCAGTACTTAACGCTCCTCTTCACTGATCTTGGTGTTCTCTCTCCTTCCGTAGTTAGCGATGAGCTTATTCAACTCTATCTCTAAAATTTAACTTCTAACTTAATAACTCATTAGTTGTGATTGCTTACAAAATTTTTAGAAGTGGAAACTATAAATTTTGTTCCTTTAAAGATCGTCAAAGTTCTTTTTTTATATCTTAAAAACCTTGTTTCCGTTTTTGGATTATGAATTGACGATGGTCACACATGTAGTCTAGTTGTTTTTCTATTGTCACGTATGTATTTTGTTTTGAAGACATCATATGATCGAACGGTTTTCTTTCACTTTAAACAACTATATTTTGTCTTTCATATAACCAGAGTATGTGTTACATACGGTAATTAGTCTTAGGTGGTTGTCTTAACACCAACATATTTGTTTGCGTCTAAGTGCGTTTAAATTGTTATGTTGGTTGTAACTTGTAAAGATTATTCAGAAAGACGAAAAACTGGCACTTACAAGGTACAAGAATTTTTTTTTAAAAAAAAGCCAAATACTAGATCATAAGAAATTAGAACTTCATATACATACAATAAAACTTCTATATATTAATAATGTCAGAATTATAGTATTTTATTAATTTATAGAATTCTTAATTTATCGATATAAAAATCAATTTAAAAAATTAATTTGAAATTCGAAAAATATATTAATTTATCAAATATTAATTTATAGAGATTATACTGTATAAGAAATATATCAAAACAATGTCCGCCATAAAAGTTGTAGCAATCTTCAACTTGAAACCATATTAGATAATTTCAGTTCATTGTAATATATTAAAGAAGACACTACACTTCATTGTCTACGCTACGGTTTTGAGACAGCAGAACCGAAACTGTAACTATCCATCGTTACCACTTACCTGCATGACCTTGATCGTTCCTAACCGTCAGATTTTCATCCGTAATTTTCCAGTCAGTCGGAGCCATCGGATTTGGAAATGCCTGAGCATTCATCTGAACCGTTGGATCTCCACCCATCTCGCAGATCTTTTTCCACAAATTCTCCCTTAAACCATGCAACCCCTTCATGTACTCTTCCATCTCTTCTTCCCGAACACTCTCCACCGCCCTCTCCCACCACATCCTACCGTCGACGTCCTCTTCTCCGGTTAACGCTTCACCGTCGAGATGTGACCTCAGCATCACCGGAGCCTTGCGCAAGTACTTTTCGATGAGTGTGTCCACGTTACCGAACGTGTAAATCCTTTGGAAACGTGAAAACGTTATGATACCAATCTGCGCGCCGCAGAGAACGCTTAATTCAGCCGCTTTTTTGAAAAGCCCGGTTCGGCGTTTCGAAAACGTCACTTGCCTCCGGTTTTTCTCTTTGATCTCTTTAATCTCTATCTTCTGTCGACCTTTGGTGGTTTTAGAGCTTTGTAGTTTCGTCTCTCTTTGTTGCTTGATCGGAAATGTAAGGTTTTGAAGAGGATTTTGTTCCGTGGACGGCAAGCATGTGGTGGATGAGGCTTCTCCGTGCTCCATATTGCCGACAAGACTGAAAGATGATTATAAAGATCACAAGTGTTCTTTGAGGTAACAAAAATATTCTGATTTATGTTTTATATATATATACATAGTTTTGAAGTAAATAAGGAATGGTTGCTTGTTCATAGTAAATGTTAATTGTGGTATTCCATGCACACGTCTCAATAATTTAACATGTTTATGGAACTATTCCATAAAAACCAAATATAGTGTTTTTTTAATTTAAGTTTCGTGATATTATATCCCAGATTTACGAGATATACTTACCACTTTCTATTTTACTTATTTGTTAAAAAAAACAACTAATCAATCAAATATATGCATAACATCAATATTTATTACAAATTGGTTGCCAAATGGAAGGTTCATCCACAAATCTCATTTGCTCAATATATCATTCAGTCTTAACCACTAAACAATATTAATTAGCTTGCTGAAAAAGATTCAAAGCAAGGTTGATAGATTAGTTTAGATTTGAAAAATGATTAGTGGAGAGAAAACCATGGGTCAATTAGTCAGTATATTAAAGACTACTTCTGGTTTCAAAATTTAATTCTATAGCCAACAAAGCCATAGTGCCCTACAGACAACTAGTATTACACTTTAAGTAATTTATTTTCATATGTTACATATATATATATATATCAAGTTGTAATTAACAACTGTTATTATATGTATTTCATCAGAGTTATTTCCATATAGACTTGACTAGATTCAAATAACCCTTGAACAATTTGACGAAAAGTCTAAAACCCATGTCGACATCTTGAGAGGTGAATAACCAAAGCAAGGCATATACTACAAATTAAGTCTTGTTATTTACGACACATTAAATGGGGTAGCTAAAATCTACAGTCATTAAATCTACATAATACAGTGACAGAAAAGAAGCTCAATACAAAGAATGAAAAATACGATTGAAGATAAGGTCGAATATTAAAATTATTCATCCAATCCATAGTTCATCTAATTGCATAACATTGCAGAGGCCAACATCTACTCTTTTTTTTTAGCAACTGGCCAACATGTAAATATTTTAAATTTACAACGGACCTATGCCAAGGGCTAAACAGTAAATTGGCAAATGCCCGGTCTTTCGTGGAACACGCGTAGTTTTGCATATAAAAGAGTCGAGCAACGAAGCTAAAATGAAAAGAAAAAAAAAAACACAAAACCACCTTCAACAATTGAGAAATTTCAGTTTCAACCCAAACTTTTTGAATTATTAGATTCACACCCTTGTTAAAAATCTAAGAAAATGTGCGGAGGAGCTATAATTGCCGATTACATAGCGCCGTCGCGTTCCGGCAGATCGACAGCCGATCTGGGGAAAAACGTGAGAGCTGGGAATTCTTCATGGAGACGCGATGATGTCGTCGACTTGACATTCGACGATTTCGAGGGAGATTTTCAGGATTTCGAATCGGAAAACGATGAAACCGGGAAATTTTCTCCGGCCAAGCCGTTGGTCTTCTCCTCAACTCGAAAACCTGCAGGTGAGAGTTACTCGGATTCGATTCTCACAATTTGTAATGTCAATGATTCCAAGTTGCAGCAGTGAATCGGTTTCCAAGACTGTTTGTTGATGAAATTAGAGTTTTGTGTACTTTGTTAGGCTCAAATCGAAGCATAAATGGAGAAGATGAGAGGAAGAAAAAGAGTAGTCGATACAGAGGAATCAGGAGACGGCCATGGGGAAGATGGGCGGCTGAGATTCGTGACCCAATCAAAGGAGTTAGAGTCTGGCTCGGGACTTTCAACACTGCAGAAGATGCTGCAAGAGCTTATGATCTTGAGGCTAAGAGAATCCGAGGAGCCAAAGCCAAGCTCAATTTCCCAAACGAAGATTCAGCATCATCATCATCCTCTAGAAAGCGTAAAGCGTCACCACAACCTGAGGTTAAGCCTGTGCAGCAGATACAAGAGAAGCACGAGGCTGGTGATCTTGGATTGCCTGTGGCTAGCTCGGTGCTTAGTAGTAGCTGGCTTGATTTTCTCTGGGAGGAGAATAATGCGGAGACGCTTCAGGTCGATACACAATGGCTCGAAGATGTTATCATGGGCGATGATGCGAAGAAGAAACAGAAAGGTTGTGATGGTGAAGCCAATGTGAACGCGCAGCTTTCTGAAGAGCTTCTAGCGTTTGAGAACCAGACCGAATGTTTCTTCCAGATGCCGTTTATGGGAGTGAGAAACTGTGGTTCCACAACATCTCTGAGTAGTCTCTTTGATGGATGCAATGACAATGATCTTTGGTCTTGAAAGGACTTGAGTCTTCCGTGTTCCACATTGTGAAAATGACATGAGTTCTTGTTCTGCTTAAGTGTAGCGAGTGTTTTCAAGTGTTGTTCTTACACTCTTGTCAATATTAAATAAAACTAGCCTCTTTTTCTTTGGGTAAAAAAACTGTACCTTTAAACTTCATTCAGTAGCATACGTTCAAGCCTTGATCAACATCGACAAGCGACTGTAACATAGGATCTAAAGTCTGAACTTGTGGTAAGGGAAGCACAAACATTGCAACCTCTAGGAGAAAAACATCACCTTGTAGTAATTAAAGTCCATCGCAAGCTTTGCCAGTCATCATCACTTGATAATCCAAGTTCCGCACACAAAGAATGCTCAATCTCAAAGCTTACGCTTCGGCTTGCACGGGCTCCACCATAATTATCATGTCCCAACCAGTACCACAAATATCTCCGTCCTTCTTCCGTGTCTCATCAACCAATCACATGTGGGAGGAGTCGAGGAGAACCATTTAAATGCGGCTAAGGGCAGAGGGAAGAACATTCACCTGATCTTTGTAATGCCTTACGCTTGCTTCCCACGATTCCATGTGCTCCATGGCATTTTCCTTTTGTAGGGCTAGGGCCACAGCTTTCACAAGGTCTTTACCGCAACGAGGGAGAAACCTAATAATTCGCTAGCCAGAATCCTTTGGAGGTTAAACATATCAGTTCTGATCCTGAAGTAGATTGCAGGTTTAAATAAAAGTAGCCTTTTTTGTTTGTTTTGCATAAAATTGATCAGAATGTGGAGGATTGTTGCAAGAAACCGGAAGCTCAATTTATATTTGTGATACTTGAAGGCTGAAGCGAATGAGATAATTATAGTAGAAATTCCATTCAAAACCCAAAAAAAAAGTGCGAAACAGAATATTAATCTAATTGTCTTGAGAGAGATAAGCGAGAAGGAAAAAAGTTGCGGTTCGATAACTCTTCAATCCAAAAAGTAACAAAAAAACCATGTCTATAACCAGGATTGTAAAGCCTATCAACTTTACTCCCAACCGGTAGCTGGAGCAGTTGGGGGTGGCACAGCCGTATCCCATCCATCTGCTGCTGGAGCAACTGTAACCGCAAGAAAAAACCAAATAACAAACTTTAAAATCAAGATCGTAGATTTAGTGATCCTGAGCCAAAATAGCGTTTCAGGTAAAATTTAACTCACCGCTTGAATCGGTCCAAGAAGCAGCGGCAGGAGCAGCAGCGATTGGCTGCTGGGCTTCCCCTGGCCATGCAGCATCAGGGATCGCAGCAGTGGTCCATTGCTCTCCACCAACCATTCCATATTCAGGAGCAGGTAGCCCAAAGTCTGCCTGAGGTGCAGACTCATCCTCATCCTCTGGCTTAGCCTCCTCTGGCTCTCTGTAGAAGAACAGATCCACCTGTACAGCACAACATATGAACAATACATCAAACATGAACAACAGGAAAAAATTAAAAACTTCATGTCGCCTACATAATCAAACTCTTCTCTACTCAACAATGTAAGACTTTGCAAGAAGGGCAAAGAGTTACACAAAAAGTCCTCTTACCATGACATCCCATTTCTGTGCAGGGCGGATGGTTCCACGCATCTGAAGGACCATGCGAGCAAGAAGCCAGAAAAGACAACCAATGCTGTGCTTTCCCTTGTTGTTGGCTGGGATACCAATGTCAACAAACCTCATAGGAGAGTCTGTGTCACAGAAAGCAATGATGGGGATGTTTCCCAAAGCACCTTCCTTGATGGGCTGCAACAACACATACAAGATGTTAATCCAGAACAAGACATAACATAACCATCCGTGGTATTAGGAAAAGGAGTTTACCTGGTGGTCGGTACGGGGATCTGTAAGAATCAGAAGCCTGGGCTCACTGAATGAGGTCTGCATCTGATTAGTGAAGGTACCAGGAGTGTGCCTTCCAGCAATGGCATTGGCTCCTGTGTACTGAGCGAACTTCAGGACAGCTCTCTGACCATAGGGCCTAGCAGACTGGACAATGATGTCCTGTGGGTTCTCAATAGCAACAATAACTCTAGCAGCCATCTGCAGCTTTTCCCATGTTTTGCCGAGGTTGAATATGTAAATACCTGAAAAGGAAAATCAAACGTCAAAATTGACATGCAATATGCATTGTTGAGCATATAAAATCAAACAGAAGTAAGAACACTAGTCGATAAGAGTAACAAAAAAATAAACACTTGCATCCATACAGTGTCAAACATCAGTCTCGAAGAGGATTATCTGCCATTGGCTCAGTTTTCCATTCGTAAGCTTAGAATCAAGAAACCAAATGAAACCCGTGAAATACTCATTTCTTCGTAAACACTAAAACCACTCTTGTGATCATGAATACAATAAAAGACACAAACCATCCCTTTGGTAGTTATCTAGACTTATTAATAGACGAAATGTTGACAGAAATGGATAGAGTTCAACGCTGAAGTATTTTGCTTTTGTCAGCGGCTACTTAGATCCGTGGTAGCGGCTAAACTCTACTTTGGGGATAAAAGAGTGAGGAACTAAAACGACCTACAAATCCATAACTCATCTAAAACAAAGCAGCATGAGCCAAAAAGAGATCATAAACAATCTATGGGGAAACAAAAACTCAAAAGACACAAAAACATACAAATCCGCAATAGCAACACGGAATCACAATGCCTAATCATCTACATACACACATAAATATTGGTATGTTTATACAAGTAGCAAAAAGAAATACACGAGATGTATAGTTACCATCGTTGCGTCTCTTGAAGACGTAACGCTCCATTTGGTAATTGCAATTTTTGGTTCCAAGGTGAACCTCAGCAGCACACATCATCCTGATGTCAGCTTCCTTCTGGGAAAGCTGTCCAGAGCTAGCAGTTAAGTCAGTCGCCATACTGTTTCTTTTCTTCTTCTTCTTCTCCGGGACCTAATCGCCGAGATAGGTTTCTGCAGTGTAAATCACACGAGAGCGGCGAGGGGAAACTAAAAGAACTGTGAGGGAGACGGCAATTTATCAAGCGAAACCCTAATTCGAATATAAAGTCTGTTTTGCCCTCATGTTTATCCCACGTATTTTTACCAATGACCGTGGTAAATTTATCGGAGCTAGTAAATTAACATTTTTAGAGTTGATGAAATAAAAACTTAGCCAATAACCACTGGTTCAATTTCCGGTTTGTTTTTCTTAAACCGGGCTCCAAGTGTGTACAAACTTGTTAGCAAAAGGTATCCGTTTAGCGCTGGAAATTTGGGTTCGGGAAGTTTAAATTGTCGTGAAATCTGATTTTAAAAATTCTCTGCGTGAAGATATGATCTTACATCACTGTGAAGTGTGGATCGAGAAAGAGATACTGTTTTTTTGCCTTGTAATTTAGATTGCCAAAATCTATTCTCTTTGATTCAGGCCAATGTTGAAAGCTATAAAATCTATTCTGTTTGATTCAGGCCAATGTTGAAAGCTAAAATCTATCCTGTTCGATTGTGGCCAATATTGAAAGACATCTCCACTTTCATATTGTGCTATATTCGAGAAATGTTATATTAGCCTTTATATTCGTACTGCTTCCAAGTAACTTCCATGAGAATGTGGAGAAATGTTGCAAGAAACAGGAAGCTCAATTTATATTTGTGATAAAAGCGAACAGAATAATAATCTAAGTGTCTTGAGAGAATGATGCGAGAGGAAAATAAGTTGCGGTTCGATAATTTTTCAATCCCAACAGTAACAAAAAACAATGTCTATAACCAAACATTGTAGAGCCTATCAAATTTATTCCCAACCGGTAGCTGGAGCAGTTGGGGGTGGCACAGCCGTGTCCCATCCATCTGCTGCTGGAGCAACTGTAACCACAAGAATAAACCAAAATCAAAATCAACATCGTAGACTAAGAGATCACTGAGCCAAAACAGCGTTTCAGGTTATATCTAACTCACCGCTAGAATCAGTCCAAGAAGCAGCGGCAGGAGCAGCAGCAATTGGCTGCTGGGCTTCACCTGGCCATGCAGCATCAGGGATCGCAGCTGTGGTCCACTGCTCTCCACCAACCATTCCATATTCAGGAGCAGGTAGTCCAAAGTCTGCCTGAGGTGCAGACTCATCCTCATCTTCTGGCTTAGCCTCCTCGGGCTCTCTGTAGAAGAACAGATCGACCTATACAGAACAACGCATGAACAAGTCAAACACCAAACATGAACAGTAGGAATATGAATTGACAACTTCATGTCGCCAACATTATCAAAACCACAATGGACACATGTAAGCTTTTGCAAAAAGAAATGCCTCTTACCATAACATCCCATTTCTGTGCAGGGCGGATGGTTCCACGCATCTGAAGGACCATGCGAGCAAGAAGCCAGAAAAGACAACCAATGCTGTGTTTTCCCTTGTTGTTGGCTGGGATACCAATGTCAACAAACCTCATGGGAGAGTCTGTGTCACAGAAAGCAATGATGGGGATGTTTCCCAAAGCACCTTCCTTGATGGGCTGCAACAACACATACAAGATGTTAATCCAGAACAAGACATAACATAACCATCCGTGGTATTAGGAAAAGGAGTTTACCTGGTGGTCGGTACGGGGATCTGTAAGAATCAGAAGCCTGGGCTCACTGAATGAGGTCTGCATCTGATTAGTGAAGGTACCAGGAGTGTGCCTTCCAGCAATGGCATTGGCTCCTGTGTACTGAGCGAACTTCAAGACAGCTCTCTGACCATAGGGCCTAGCAGACTGAACAATGATGTCCTGTGGGTTCTCAATAGCAACAATAACTCTGGCAGCCATTTGCAACTTTTCCCATGTTTTGCCTAGGTTAAAGATGTAAATACCTGAGAAAAAAAAATCAAACTTTAGAATTGACGTGCAATTCTAAGCATCTAGCAGTGTTGAGTACAAAAGGGAGCAGAAATTAGGTTCCTTGATTCTAAGCTTCTGAAAGTGGAATCACAATCATTTCTTCATATACAACAAAACGACTCTTGTAAACACATAAGAAAAATGACACTAAAACCAGCCTTATTGTTGTTTAGATCCGCATTATCAACTCAGAATCACAATGCTCTATTCATCTATATATACACACATACATGTTTACAGAATCACACAAGTAACAAAAAGAAAAACACGAGATGTATAATTACCATCGTTGCGCCTCTTGAAGACGTAACGCTCCATTTGGTAGTTGCAATTTTTGGTTCCAAGGTGAACCTCAGCAGCACACATCATCCTAATGTCAGCTTCCTTCTGGGAAAGCTGGACAGAGCTAGCAGATAAGTCAGACGCCATACTGTTTCTCTCTTCTTCTCCGGGACCTAATCGCCGAGATAAGTTGCTGCTGCGTAAATCACACGAGAGAGGCGAGGAAACTAAAGTGCTTCGAAGGAGACGGCAATTTATCAAGCAAAACCCTAGTTTGTATATAAAGGCTGTTTTGCCCTCGTGTGTAACCCTCATAAGTCGTAATTATCAATGACCATAGTAAAATTCTCGGCGCTTGTAGTTTATCATTTTTACTGTTGATGAAATCGAACTTAACCAATAATTAGTGGTTCAATTTCTGGTTTGTTCTCTTAAACCGACCTCCAGGTGTATACCGTTGAATACGTTGAATCTATACGTTATCTGTACCGAGATTGACTCGAACCGGTTTGGTTCCGGTCTGGTCCAGCCACTTGAGTGATTTTGCTAAAGGATTTGATGACATTGAATATAACGGTCCAGCGATCATGTTATTGATGATTTATTATAATGACATCGAATAGTTTGCAACATTAATGATTAATGTAAGAAACAATACAAAAAAGGTTTTTATGATGACACTGAATATTTTGACCAAAAAAATAAAAATGATGACATTGAATATTGAGTTTGTTAAATAGATGTAAGAAACAAAACTGGCATTCTCTGTGAATGGAGTCGCATACTGGAGATAATAGTAGTTTCAACCTTCTGTGAATCTATGGCTACAATTGGGGCAAGTATAATATGTTGTCTGCCCTTCGTCTGCTGATCTTGTCTGCAAATAAGAAAACTCAAGATGAATATATTCTTTGACATGAAAGAAAAGACAAGAACTTGAAACACAGACTTCAAAAGCTTGGAGTTACCTGTCTGGTTGTGTAGACAAGCTCAGGGTGCTGACATTTCTCACACGCTTTTTTGATCTGCAAAGAGAAATCATCAAAAACAGACGTCAGAGATTGAGAAAAAGCGTAATATGTTTTTGCTTCATTTTATTTTTTTGGTCATAAACCTTTGGTAGCTCAGCGTCTTCCTGCGTTTTTTCACCAAACAGAGATATTCCTAGTTCTCTTCTGATGTCCTACAAAAATAAGCAAAGATCATGAGTTGTATACTAACTCCGCATTCGGATAGTGTCTGTAGCACTCCATAAGAGAAGGAAAACACCCAAGAGAAGGGTTTAGAGTGCTCAAGATGCAATGTTCTTGCAAGAATAACAAACCAGTGTCCATTTTCAGGTTTGATACTGATTACATAGCAAGCAAGGGTCTGTGTGTGCGTGTTCACTGCCTAGTAGTAGTGAGTAATAACAATGGACGGAAAGAAATCAAGAGCAACGCCTTCGCTACTCAGTGAAACAGAAATCAAATGAGATTGATTTACACACATCTTGTGAGTGACATAGAAGACTATATGATGCAGCCAAACTAGCCAACAGATATCACATGCGATTGATTTATAGAGATCTTGTGAGTAACATATAAAATTTTATATGATGCTGCAAAACTAGCCAGACAAGAATCCACACAGCTGGATAAAGAAAAAAAACATACCTCAGCAGAAACTGTGTAAGCTATTTCCTTGCCAATGATTTCTGAAAAACAATGACGTTTAAATCACAATAAAATTAACCAAACCAAGACGTTCCATTTGATATATTACATATGAATCCAAAACGAATTCATGGATACCTTTTGCATTTCGTGTTGTTTGGCATAGTGGACATTCTGCAGACGTAGCTGATTTCAAGATGAGCATTGTCCCACACAAGTTACAGAACAAGAAACCACTTTCCCGAGATTTCTCCATAACCTAAAACGCAAAAGAAGTAACATAACTCATCTCTACATGTATCAATTGCTTACAGAAACCAAATTAATGGGAATAGAACTCAAGGGGAGAACAATGGATTCTACAGGAGAACGATTAGGAACTAGAAACAAACTAACCGAAATTAAATCCTGTAATAAAGCTAGTAGTCTCTAAGAGTCTACAGAAACACAACCAAACCCTAAAAGAAAAACTTTAATAGAATAAAAGTGACCAGCACAAATTAAGAATCAAGGAAAACCAAATGAAACCCGTGAAATACTCATTTCTTCAAAAACACCAAAACCCCTCTTGGAAACAAGAACACAAGAATAGGACAAAACAGCCCTTTTGTTACTATCCAGACTTATTTATACACTAAGTGTTGACAGAAATGGCTTGAACCGTGATGGCTGCTAAACTCTACTTTGAAGATAATAATGTGAGGAACTAAAACGACCCTACGAATCCATAACCCATCCGCAGTAACCAAAAACAGATCATAAACATAGAAATCCGCAGTAAACACTCAATAGACACAAAAACATACAGATCCGCAATATCAACACAGAATCACAATGCTCTAATCATCCTAATGTCAGCTTCCTTGTGGGAAAGCTATCTACAGCTAGAAGATAAGTCAGTCACCATACTGTTTCTCTCTTCTTCTTCTTCTCCGGGACCTAATCGCCGAGATAAAGCTGCTGCTGCGTAAATCACACGAGAGAGGCGAGGAAATTAAAGAGCTGCGACGGAGACGGTTGTGTTTACCCCTCGTAAATGTATCACTGACCGTAATAAATTTCTCGGAGCTAGTAATTTATTATCATTTTTACTGTTGATGAAACCGAACTTAACCAATAATCACTGGTTTAAATTCCGGTTTGTTTTTCTTAAACCGACCTCCAAGTGTGCACAAACTTGTCAGCAAAAGATTATCTCTCTGCCTGACTTATTTTTTTTTCATCATTCATTTTTTTTTTTTTTGAAAGTTAGAACCCTAACGATGTCTCTCCTCCCTTTCTCTTCTGATCTCATCTACTTCAGATTTTCAAACCTGTGTTTGGAACTCCTGGGTTTGTAAATTCTCTGTTGCACGGTCCTTACACCTCTTTTGATTGTTCTCGCTTTCTATCCGATCCAAACGCATTTGGAGTTGTTTTATGATCTTCTCCGAAACGAGCTCATAAGGTTTCATTTGCCTACTCCTTGAGAAATTCTTCCTAGTTTTCTTCAATTCTCGGTTTTTCATTCATTTTGATTTCGTTTTTTTTGGTAGTGCCCAGACGGGTTGAGCTTCATCTCTGGAGAAAATTCATGGGTGTCACGTTTAAGATTTCGAAAACTGGTAGAAAGTTCCGGCCAAAGATTTCTACTGAATCGGCTATTCCTCAATCTCCAGAACAGCTGAATTCGAAAGCCATCGTTCTATCAGGGAAATCAAAGGTATTTACTGAGAATGTTTCTAAATTTCATAACCTCCCGGGAAGTTGAAATCATCGTGAAATCCGAATTTATCATTTTCTGCGCTGAATTTATGATCTTACATCACTCTGAAGTGTGAATCGAGGAAAAAGAGTTTGAGATATCAGTTATACCATGTTGCCTTGTAATATAGATTGCCAATATCTATTCTGTTTGATTCAGGCCACTGTTGAAAGCCATGCTGGTAATGTTTCTGGGTTTTCTCAGCCATCTTTGCATGATGTATCTCCAGGTTAGCATCTAAACCACTTGGATAGCTCATATTTTGCTATATTCGAGCAACGTTAATTTCATTGCTTTTCCTTTCTTTCCAGGACATGAAGTTTCCTTCATATTGAGCCTCTATCCGAATGGGTACTCTGTAGGAAAACCCTCTGAGGTATGTAAGCAGAACTTCGTGTACTTGAGAGTCTATATGAGTTTATTTATCTAGTAGTTTCTTGTATTTGATTTAAAAACCCCTTCACATCTAACAATTGTTAATAACTTGGAACCAGGTTGTGCAACAGACATCCTTTCGAGATGCTCCAAAGGTCTTACATCCGTATGATAGGGCATCAGAGAGTCTACTTTCGGTAAATATTTCGTATGAGGAAATATAATTTATAAGAATTACATCACATGCTTCTATATATTAAAGATTTGGTGAATGAATTCAAAGTAACTGGAAAGTGAAGTTTGACTTTGTCCTTGTGTTATTAATGAGAGTCACTAGATCTGTATTCTTAGTTGTTGGTTAAGGTTTCTGCTCCAAAGGTTTCTGAAATCCTTACTATGGCCGTCTGTTTTCAAGAATTTATTTTGAGTTGTAACAGTTGGGACCTTATGCCAGTGTCTATGTTATTTTTTGTAGTAAATTTAGTATTTTGACTAAACAGCACTACTTGCTCGAATTTCACTAAATTCATTTCCAAGTTATTTCTGAAATCCTTAATATGGCCGTCTGTTTTCAAGAATTTATTTTGAGCTGTAACAGTTGAGACCTTATGCCAGTGTCTATGTTATTTTCTGTAGTAAATTTAGTATTTTGACTAGCACAATGTTTTGACTAGCACAATGCTTTGACTAGCGCTATTTAGAATTTCATTAAATTCATTTCCAAGTTATCTTTCCTCTGAGTGAATGTTCTTAATTCCTCTGGATGCTTTATAGGCTATTGAGGCTGGCAGACTTCCCGGGGACATTTTGGATGATATACCTTGTAAATTTCTGGATGGGGTGGTCATATGTGAGGTGAGTTATTTGCAGTAAATTATTTGAATAGAGCCTTCCATGACCTGCCATCTAGTCATAGTAAACTAGCAGTCTCAAATGGTCGTTCGTTCCAAAAATTAAGAAAATATTCCTAAGCCTTGAGAATTAGTTGTTATCACCATGGTTTCAGTTCCGGTGCTGCCTTCCATACGTTCTTGGAAACAGTCTAAACTTATTCAAATATTCACATCTCTATAACTTGTACTAGAATAAAAATGGGAGTTTGTCTTCCGAACACAGTTGTACCTCTCTTTTTTTCTGTCGAGGCAGATCCATTTTTGATTGTTATTTGTTTGTGGGTTTCTCATAGTATGTTTACCACGACCTTCTAAGCACATTGGAGGAATTGGAATCAGAAGAAAACATAAATTAATCTAGTTTTATTATTCCTCTAATTGACTGCTCAAGTACTATCTTACATAGCGTCGTGTATTCTTAAAAATTTGTTTCATACTATTGTAGGTGCATGACTATCGGAAACATACCCCAGAGCAAGTCTCTCCTGTGATTAATAAATTGAGTCTTAAGATGTCACTTGAGAATGTGGTAAAAGATATTCCATCAATGTCAGACAACTCATGGACATATGGTGATCTCATGGTAATCACGGTTGCTCTTGGATTATAGGTCTTATATCCGAACACTGAAAATATAATCCTCTATACTGATCCTTACATTAACTGTAGGAAGTGGAATCCAGAATATTAAAAGCCCTACAACCTGAACTCTGTCTGGATCCTGTACCCAGACTTGATAGGCTGAGTAAAAACCCTGTGTCCGCTAAGGTAATATCCCAGAAAAGACTCCTTGTGCTTTCTCTTCTCAGTGCATTTATAACGTCTAAAAAGGTTTTGTTTCTACTCCATAGCTCGATTTGTGTCTTTCTACTTTGCGGAGAAAGAGATTAAGGCAAATGACAGAAGTGACAGTTATGTCTCAGAACAAGATTCATGGGAAAAAGGTTTGCCTTGAGCGGCTTCCGGAAATTTCAGAGCGAGGAAACATGCCGGGACATTTGTTAATGCATCAAACCCATAACAACCAGGCTATTCAAAATCCTGGTACTAATATGGTGGCAGGATTAAGAAGTCAGACCTTGCAAGAAGCGCCAACTTCCTCACTGCCCTTGGTACCAGCTCAGCAGCAAAGGTACATGGGAACTGGAACTTTAAGAAACATGCAGGATCAAGGATCAAATTCTGTCAGCGTCCCTGGAGCTTCACCTGGGGGACTAGATGGGATGTTGCCTTATGCCTCTGATAGTATGAACCCCGGTACATCTTTTCATAGAAAGAGAGAAAGTCAAGAAGGTCAAATGTCTTCTATGCCTAGTTTGAATAAGCGGACAAGGGTTCCACACATGGGTCCTGATGGGGTTCCACAGCAACAGTTAGGGCAACGCATGGATAGCCTTAATGGAACCGATACAAATTGGAAAACTGCGCTTCTACAACAGCAAGACATGCTAGGGAGAAGTATTCAATATCCAAATGCAAGTATTCAGAGGTTTTCACCGCAGCAAATTGAAGGAGTTATGAATCAGGAAGGTGGTCCCATGCAATTTCCAACTTCACAACAGGGGGCTATGCGATACACTTCGAAAGAGGAGCCATTTGAGACTGGTAAAATTGATGGTAATATCAGAAACAATATGGCGGATGCAAATGATTTTCAGTCAAGGATGCCCCATAATGGATTCACGAGATCAAACTTCCCTCAAGCATCTTGGAATGTTAATCCTGGCCAGCAGATTGAAAAAGACCCGAGAAAAGAAGAACAATTCAGTAGAAGGATCGCGGCTCAAAGTCCTCGTTTATCAGCAGGTGCTCCACCACAGTCCCCACTTTCATCGAAGTCAGGTGAGTTTTCTGGTGGTTCAATGGGGAACCACTATGGAGCAGTTGCAGCAGCTCAAAAGGACAAGGCTGTTACTTCTATTCCTGCTATTGGTGCTACTCATTCAGTGGGTTCTAGCCCTAATGATGCTATGCAGCAAAGGCAACACCAAGCCCAAATGCCTGCTAAACGGAGGACAAATTCTCTTCCTAAGACGCAAGTTATGAGCACTGTTGGTTCTCCTGTTAGTGTCAATACTATGAGTGGCCCAGTTAATGCAAGGAGCCCTTCAGTGGGAACCCAAACTTTGGGCGATCACGCAATCCTCGACAGATTCTCAAAGATTGAACGAGTTGCTGCAAGGTATGAATTTTATGGAATGTTTTGTTGAGGTTATTCCCATCAAATTCTTCTCCATGTGGCTTGTGGTTTACTTTGAACTATATAACAGCTATAGTTTCGATGCTGTATGTCATAGATTTTATTTGTTGTTGGTTGATCCAATTTTTTGCGTTCTATTTCTAGGTACCAACTAAACTGCAAAAAGCATAAAGTGGATGAGTCCTCTCGAAGACCTCGCTCGTATGCTCATCAGTCCCTGATGGTTTGTTTTTCGAACTTGTCTAACAACGAGGACTTCAAAGATGAGGAAAAAGCATTATCAAAATCTATTCTTGGGGGCAGCATGAATACATGCAAAACTAGAGTCATGAACTTTGTTCGGGTAGACCGTGTAATGCTAGGTATGTTTCTTTTATAACCAGATATCTGGCTGTTGGTATATTTCTCGCTACATGATTGACTCTAACCTCTGCATCTTTTCAGGTACTGTGTCTTCCATCGTCCCTAGGATAAGAACAAGACTGGTGATGTCAGAGAAGCCCATCGACGGGACAGTAGCATGGTATCAAGGGGACATAGATGATGGTGATGTTTTTCCGGCTGAAGATCATCTCTTAGCGTTGCCCAATACAGTAAGTTCATCAGAAATATGACAGTTATTAAACTCCCCCTGCATCCTAATTTTATCAGCGATATATCTTCAGCTTGCATGCAGTAACATTTACTGTAATGCTGACTTTACATTCATCAATATCTATTGGTTGTTGGGTCGTGCTCTTTGGTTTATGTCACTGTTGCGAATGCTGTGTTATTTTGAATATGGTTTGTTTATGGAAACATCTCTCTTGTCCAATGCGATAAAAAGGAGATGGACACGATGATTAATTGTCCTCTTATTACACCACTTTTTTTCTGGGAATTATCCTGACTTGCTTATTTTTCGTCATTTTGTCGCAGCACATCGCCGATCTACTTGCTGCTGAATTTAAATCACTGGTATTTTTCGAATTCTGAATCGACTACATCAAGTAACTGGTTCTATGGGAAAGGTACTTACAGATTGATGTATACGCTTATGCAGATGGCCCGTGAAGGATACCTCATGGAAGAACATATTCAGGCAAAGCCAACTCGTGGGGATGCTGGGCCAAGCGGCAACCAACCGCATTCTGCGGGTGGCTTTCCAAGGGGTAACTCTGCAAATGATATGCAACAGTATGGAGATGCAGTTGCAGGACAAGCGTCCAGTGAGGCATCGAAACAGGGGAATGCGCCTATTAACTCAACCCAGAATATTCTTGCAAATGCGAGGATGCTTCCTCCGGCAAATTCTCAAGCCTTGCAAATGTCTCAAGGACTGCTGTCCGGTGTCTCCATGCCTATGCAACCACAACAACTTGACCCACAACAGTCAGCGCTACTGTCTTCACAACTACAGCACAAAAATCAACAGTCAATGTTTACACAGCAACAGCATCCACAAATGCAGAGAGGATCTATGTTACTGCCTACAAACCCGCTATCAGCTATCAACACGATGAGCCAGAGCTCTGGTATGCAGCCTGGTGGTCAGATGGCCAACAAGCATTCCCCTCATCAACTGCAGATGCTACAGCAGCACCAGGCGGCAATGCAGAAGAAGATAATGATGGGGCTAGGATCAGGTGTAGGCATGGGTATGGGTATGGGCATGGGAAGCATGGGCAACAGTATTGCTGCGCTCGGAGCTTTAAACAACCAATTGAATATGGCAGGAAGAGGGATTGGTGGAACCGGAATCTCATCATCGATGTCTGTTCCTGGCATCAGTAATATGGGCCAGAACCCAATGAATCTGAATCCAGCATCAAATTTGAATGTTATAAGCCAGCAAATCCGATCTGGTGCATTAACACCACACCAGAACGCTGTGTTTACAAATCTTAGGATGGGCTACCGAGGAGGTGTAATGGGTGCTCCCCAAGCCGGAATAAGTGGCGTGTCAGGTGCCAGGCAGATGCACCCCAGCTCAGCTGGTCTTTCTATGTTGGATCAGAATACATTAAGCCGAGCTAACCTGCAGCGAGCTGCTATGGGTAACATGGGCCCACCTAAGCTGATGCCTGGAATGAATCCTTACATGAACCAACAGCAACTCCCGCAACAGCAACAGCAGCAGCAACCCCAACAACAACAGTTGCAGCATCAGCAACAGTTACAGCAGCCTATGTCTCAGCCACCTCAGCAGCAGCTAGCTCAGTCTCACCAGCTACAACAACATGAGCTGCCTCAACAACCACAGCAGCAGCAGCAACAACAACAGCAACAACAACAGGCAACAGCCTCCCCGCTTCAGTCTGTGCTATCACCACCCCAAGTAAGTTCGCCATCAGCTGGAATTTCCCAGCAGCAGCTGCAACAGTCCAGTCCCCAGCAAATGAATCAGAGAACTCCTATGAGTCCTCAGCAAATGAACCAAAGAACTCCTATGAGTCCCCAGCAAATGAACCAAAGAACTCCTATGAGTCCCCAGCAAATGAACCAAAGAACTCCTATGAGTCCCCAGCAAATGAACCAAAGAACTCCTATGAGTCCTCAGATAAGCTCGGGTACGATGCATCCCATGAGCACCAGCAACCTCGAGGCTTGTCCAGCGAGTCCACAGCTAAGTTCTCAGACACATGGATCTGTTGGTAGCATCACCAATTCCCCAATGGAGCTTCAAGGTCCCATAAACAACTCTGCTGGCAATAATCCCTAAACAAGAAACTTATCATTTGGTCAGGGTCGTGTCTGTGTATAGAATAGAAAGCCTATTTTTAATAAATTTTGAAGAGTCTATTTGATTATTTGCTAACTTTTAATTTTCTATAGAATAGAAAAATGTGAGTTTTGTTTACATTAGCAAATAACACCGTCTTATATAAACGCCGAATCAATTAGACAAATTACATTCTAAATTTATTAGATTCACCTTTTTCACTGTCTCATTGCTGCAATTTTGAAAATTTGTAATTTTTTTTCCATGACAACTACTAAATCCATTAGTATTTGCTAATTTTGTTAAATATTTTTATTCATAATAAATTTGTTTCATCTAATATTAGATTCGCTTACTGGAAGTAAAGAATATGCTGTGTATCTAACTTACTTTAATTTATGTCATGGAGATTACAGTTTCGCATATGTATGTCATGGAGTTCACAGTGTCTGTAGAGAAAGTAAAGAATCTATGTTGTGCACTTGTGCTTTCCAAGCGAAAGTGCCATTATTGTTAGGTTGTTGATATATGTTACCACTGCCTGCTTCAGGCGATTTGAGATCTTTGTTAAAGCTCGATCTGTAAATTTATGTTACAAACCCGCCTATATAATACAAGAGTAAACAAACGTATAGAATGCTTTATTAATTTTATTAGTAAATAGAAAATCTAATTTTTGGGTTAAAACTATCTGAAAAACTATAATCATCTTACATGCCGAATAAACAGGAAAAATGTTTTGTTTAAGTAACGAAATTAAATTAAGCGTGAGCATCCTTTCACAAGCTGGAAAATAAAAAAACTATAATACACAGTATGTGAAATAAAATAAAAGTAATGGACACGAGATTCAGAGTAAAAGGACACAAATTATTCTCAAGTTGGAAATAAAAAGCACATTTATTTCTTAATTCGTCCAACTTGTAATTTTGTTCAACCATATATGAAGTTATAGTAGTTGATCACATGATTTTAGTTTTTGTACATATATATATTATCTACTTTCAAAATAGAAAAGAAGGGAAGAGAAGAGAAGACTTCGCGGTCGCAGGTCTGAGGAGACAGACAATAAATTACGAAAGCAAAAAAAAACAAAACAAAACAAATGACAACTTGTTGTGAACGTGAGTGTAGCTTTTGTCTCCTGGTCCCACTTCCGGAAAACTTCCACAAAATATCACATATATTCCCAACTTTTTTGACTTTGCCTTTTACAGTGAAGAAAGAAAACTACAGTTCTCAGTGTTGTGGCCGCGTTTTCGAACAGACTGATAAATTGATAATTATCGTCTCATGTTCTTCTTCTCTTTTTTTTTAAGTAATAGACTTGTAGGAATACTATGATTGCATTGTATATTCCTTTTACTTACGGCTTCGCGAGTTATTTATTCAATTTTCTCTTTGAAGTGATATTTATTATAATTCATTTAAAAATTGTGTTCTTGAAACTCTCTCCCACTCTCGAAAAACGTAATTTTTGAGATATTTGATAGTTATACTTTCTCTATTTCACAATAAATACCGTTTTCTACTTAATTTTAATTTTACAAAAACTGACTGATTTTTAGACAAACTTTCAATTTTATTTTATTTTTAAGTGGAAAACAAGAAATAATGTAATTTATATATTATATACTAAAAATTATAATGATTTGTTTGAACTTCTGTAAATAGTCATAGAATTTCTAGAGAATGAATGGCATTTTGGGATTTAGTCATCAATACTCCCTCCGTTTTATAATAAGTGTTATTTTAGATTTCATTTTTTGTTTTTAAAAAAGTGTTATTCTGCATTTTTAATGTAACTTTTTACCCGTATTTCTTATTTTACCTCTTATTTAAAAATAATAGTTTTTGTAATTAAATGTTATTCTATCCGTTTCACGAAAAGTGTTGTTTTAAGGTTTTATTTTTGTTTCACTTTTTTTGTTTTATATTTTCAATGTAAAATTTTAAATAATATTTCAGTTTTGACCTAATTGATTTAATGTATTAATTAAAGAAAAAAATTATTAAATACATTAATAAAAGCTAAATAGTATTTTTAATAATTTTCTTAATAAGTGTGAAAAATATTAGAATGACATTCTTTGTGAAACGGATAAAATATAAAAATATATTAATTAGAAATATATTTATATATTTTATTAATTTTTTAATTTGTGTAAAATTTTGTAAAACGAAGAAAATATAAAAATATATTAATTAGAAATATATTTATATATTTTATTAATTTCTTAATTTATGTGAAATATGAATGACACTTTTTATGAAATAGAAAATATTATTTTGGTCTCTACTTCCAAACTGAATCATTTAACAACTAGTCCACCATTGATTTCTCGAACATTAAATTGAGATTTCGAACGACCTAAAAGTTTGAAGACATTGTATACAAAAAAATTTACATACCACATATTCTAGCACCACAACGAAAAATAAATAATTTATATGAAGAAGTTCCCAAATGTAAACGTGTATGCTCTACTTCTTAGATCTTCTATTGCCAACCCGGAATCTCGTCGATGGACCACCTACCTTTATTAAAACAAACATCAATATAGTCAACATCATTTAAACTGAAATTTAATCCTACACTATACATTATCATTTACAAAGTTTTTTTTTTTTGGTGGCTGTACAGTGTGACACAAGGAAAATTTTAAAAGATGGAGAAAGAGTGTAAATTAAATACCTCATTAGAACTTATAACATACAGCGATAGTTTTCAACGTTTATTCGGAATATCATTTGATGAATCGTCTCCATGGGCCGAAGTAGAAGAAGTGCCATTTAAAGACGAAGATGAACGAGTTTTGAATTGATACACATCATCCTTCAACAATTCGTCAAATAACTCTTCAAATTCTTCTAAAGTTTCGTCCCCCTGTTCCAAATTATGCAAAATCACCATCACCATCTCCATTACCATTACCGTCGACATAAATCATTAGCCTAATAGTAATGATTTGTTACCGTGGATTGAGTTTGAGCCATTAGTGTCACCATCTCATTTATGAAATCAGCCATTCCCTACAACACAAGACAATGATATTCTTTTAGAATAAATAAGTAAATTTTGACGTTAAGAATTTGTTTGAATAAAGATTCTTTCTTGTTTAAAAAAAAAAATTTTTGTTTGAAAAAAAAAAAACAAAAAAAAGAGAGAGAGAAAGAAATATCTGCGAGAACATACAGTTTCGTCGTCATCACTATCATACGCTCCGACGTCATACAACAGCCTCTTGTTCGAATCCGACAAAACTGTTGTGAACACAACTAATTACTAAACCGGGAACAGAACGCTAAACAATCAGACCCGGTTCAGAAGAAATACCGACGAAAATTTTACCAGAATAGGCTCGTTGAATTGCTTGGAATTTCATATTGGCTTCGTCTTTCTCAATTTCTTCATGAAACCGATCTGGATGCCATTTCTACACCATTGAACAAATACATAAATAAAAAGTTACTCCAATTTGAAGGTAGAGTCGAATTCGCATAGAAACATAAACTTATGGGGCAAAAACGAAAGAAAGGAGAAAAACAGAGTGAAAAAAAGATTTAAGAAAATAACCAGAACAAGGTTCTTGTAAGAAAGTCTGAGATCTCCTTGTGTACATTCGTTGTTCAAATCCATAACAGCGTACAAGTCTTCCTTCTCCATTGATGATATTTAGACTGAGTTACAAAGAAGAAAAAGGCAGAGATCTTTGTCTGATTTAATGTGTTAAAGATCAAGTCGACGATTTTTTTGCAAGAAACAAAGAGAATAGATCGAAATTAATGTGTGTATAAAACTTTAGATGGTGTAGATACTGTGGATACGGAAACGTGGAAAAAGAGAAGAAGAGAAGAGAAGAGAAAAGAAGCTGAGTTTATAATTTTTGGGTATCGTGCTTTTGTGTTGTATAATAAAGAAAGTAGTATATATATACTTTGTATTGGAGAGTCACCAGACAAAGAATGATCGAGAAACCCGCCACTTGAACTACTTGTTTTTATTTTATTTTTATCCTCGTTTTAGCCACCATTTTTTTTCAAACTAAAAAGTAGTAATATATTTTAATTTCTGTTTTCTTAAGCAAACAATTTTGCATGACGACATCTTTATTATCTTTTCGTCTGTTTTGTTTTAAAATCAAGTGAAACGAAATATTTTCCGCAAGTTGTTCCTTGACGCAGATGTTTAAATTTGAGCGACGACTCTATAACATCCAAATCTCTTTTTATTTTTTATGCTTAAATTTTTTTTTGGTCGAGAACATCTAGATATTGTAATGCTCTGGATGCATTCTTCACGAAAGTTTTAGAATTTTGGTAAAAAACAAAGTTTTAGAATTTGCATGTAATTTTGACATAAAGTATGCTTGTATTAATGCATTTTTCTCGCAACTCTATATTCCGATCTTTTCTTATTAAAATTCGAATAAAAGTTTTGCATGAAGAAAACTTTAAAATAAAATAAAATATCACGGACTTTTTGCTTTTTTTTTTCTAATATCATACAACTGACACACATACACCTTCAAGTTTAAATCTGGTTTATAACACAATGACGGTGTTAATATAAAACTATAGCTTACACACTCCGATCGAAAGCTTTGCTTTGAAAATGAGAACTTTGTATATTTACCCCAAAACACAAGTTTAATTAGATGCTAAATACTTCATTAGAGATGTGATGCCGTGACCCTACGTTGTACCCAACCCTGTTCTTCTCGGTCCAAACGCGCTAATATCTCATTACAATTTTATTATTTTTCTTTAGCGTCAAATTATTAAGGTACAGAATAGATTATCAATTTGACCAAGTTGCTAATATATGGCCCATGTAATTTATTTCTTTACTTTTTCTCTTTGCTTTGCAGGAAGTCAATTCACGAACGTTGTTGTCAATTCAGCTTTAGATCCGATTAAACCGAATCCCGGTTTACAAGTAAACCAGAGAACATCAATTTCTTCATGGTTCTCAAATGCGAAAGTTTTGTTTTTTTCATTTTCTTCATCATTCATGGCATTCTCAATGCTTTGATCCAGTCAATTTCGACTCGGAAATCGCCTGCGCCTAATTTAGCTCCAATAAAACCACCTCCTTGCGAATTAACATATAGAGACATACCCACAACACGACCTGGATTCATCTCCATCTCTGCATCTATCACATTTCCTTTCCATGTTGGTAAGTACCGAGCAAGAGGAACCTGAAAAAAATGAAAATTTTCTCACTCGGGTTGGTAATAATAAATGACCAAACCCTTATACATCAGTTGCCTTGTAGAAAGGAAGTATGAGACTTGCCTTAACTGTATACCAGTTTCCTTTTGGAGCAAAAACAAAAGCTTGCCATGAGTTATCTTCTGCTTGTCCTGGCGAGTTCACCCAGTTCTCCGTATATATCTGAATTAAAATCACGGTTTAGTTTAAGAACCGTGTGTTTTTATCTGGAGCAAAAGGACGCTAGTGTTGAGCGTGAGACTCACAGTAGAGATATAGCATCTTCCATCTCCTTTGAGCCTCAGGGCTATGGAATCATACCCGTCGAGATCAATAAAGCCATCAAACTACAAAACAGGGGAAGGTGGTTTGAGTTGAGTTGTGTTTAAGGCCTTAAACTCATTCAAATCTTTTGGTTTTGATCGATGATGTGTTGATTAGTAAGAAAACCAAAAAAAATTATGTGTTCAACCTTCTTTGATCTCATGCCACAGAAACCACTCCGATTCCATTTCGAGCCTTCGCTCATCTCTGTAGAGAGGTTCCCAGAGAAAACACCTAGGAGGATATATAAGGTGAAAATGGTCACAGACTAATTGCAGATTTAAACATGACGAGACTTGAAACAATGGTACAAGAATCAAGAGACCTCATACTTTCATTTCCATGCAGGTAAATTCACGAGATGCACTATAGAGAACCTAAACGGCTAAAACAAAACAAATTGTATAATTTGTAGATCAAGAGCTCAAGAGAAAATATTATTTTTTGTGTGGAGAATGCTCATTAACGTTCACATGCCTTCCTATATGAGCAAATGACAAGTCTATTTGAAAATTTTTGTGTCAGAACCAAGCGAAAAGTAACAAAAGGAAAAGGCTAAGCACACTTGACCACTGTATAAAACTAACCAGTGCAATCTGATCCATTTCCTCCATCTTTAATTTCCAACGAAGCTGAAGATAATCCTATGAAATAAATATCCAACATTGAAATGAGCAGATCACAGGAAGAATTGCTATGTATGTACTGCATATATTCAGAAATCATATTTCGTCTCAGTAACTTATGATAGAAATCAATGAGGATTGAACATAAAAATAAAAAGAAAAATTCAAAACAGAACATGACTATGAGCAGATGCCTGAGCCTGTGTGTTTTAAGTACCTCCATATTGAGAATCAGAATACAGGTGCCATGTCTTCAGGTCTTCTTTTGAATTGAACTTGAATATACACTTCTCCACAGGCGGTACCCATTCTTCGAGTTCCCAGGTTAGAGCTAAAGTGTGTACATTGGTGAAAATAAGTTAAAAGACTTAGCTAAAAGGCTGCAAAGCAGATAGGTAAGAAAAAAAATTTCATCCTCAAGAGAGCCTAGTCTTGAAACATAAGCTTTCTTTCGAATCAAATGCAATTAATTATGAGACCAGACGAGAATATATAAGGTAATCATAACTTTTCTCTGGACACCCAATTTAATACAGGACATGGAAACCAACAGCAAGAAATTCAATAAGATACAAGAAGTGTTAAAAAATCTTAATTGACTCGAATGTGAAAGCAGAAGATGGAAAATACCCCTCTTTGTTGCATTCACCGAAGCTTGCCACAATGATCTAAACCGTGACATTCTTCTGAAGTTCCTGGATCAACTGCGAACAACTGGTCAATTGCTTTACCAAATAATACTCTGTACAGTAGAGTAACAAGAATTCAAACGCTGGCTGCAAGTTTCAACTTCATACTCATAATCTAGAGACCGTATGATTAAAAAAAAACACAACCCAAAGGTAAAGTCTCATAACTCTAGCACAAATAAAAAGTTCATGCATCTAAACCGATGAGATCGATGTGCTTAGTAAGTTAATTAACTTCAGCTAATTCGGAACCGAAGCAAGGATCCAATCCAAGACTTTTTTGAAAAATGGATTCTTTGAAAAACCCACATTTGCGGAACAAGAATATTACCCATTGAGGCATTTCAGCAAACACTTGAAAGACAAAAATTGTTAAAATCATCATCTACCCACGACCTACCAAGACATTCGAAGCCAGTCAACAAGAGTGTAAATTAAATTGAACATTAATCACAGAAAATATGCACAAACAAACACGAGAAATCAAAACATCAAGACAAAGAGATGAGTTTGTTTCACCTGAGTTTTGTTTCGCCTGAATTTTGTTTTATACATACAAAATCAAACTCCGTTAATTACGCCGTCGCCGTCTCCGCCGTTGCGCAATCACTGGCAACGTCGGCCACCGATTAGCGTCAGTTAAACTCGAACGACCAACTGGAAGAGCCACATCGGTCGTTACGCCGTCGTTTCATGAGCCCCATCTTTAGCCTTCATTTCATCATTTTAGCCCATTTGGCCCACTAAATACCCAATAACGTTGTTGGACTTTTAATGTTTTTTTTTATTACTAATCTTCTTTCTTTTTCTTATTTTTCGACGTACTAATCTTTTTTCTTACGAGTCTAGAAATCCATTATTTTTAACATCAGTTCGAAGCCAATTTAAATTGGAAGTGTCATCCGAATATTTGGCATTATAGGCAATCAACTCTTGTCATATTATAATTTATATATAAGTTGAATAATAAGTATCATAACAATTTAATTACCAACCTAATTTATACACACACAATTCCTTATTTTCTTATATATGTATAGGGGAGATGTAACGAACAAGACAGATTAGAAAGTCCCATGAAGTTTGCGGAAAGGACACACCGAGTGACTTCTCAATCATTAGCGTGTCGGAATCAATTAAGAAACTTAATTAAACTTAACGACGAAACTTCTCCTCTTCATTACTTATATTTTTGTAAGAGCATGTAATGATTAGAACTTCGTCGTACTTAATCAATCGATATATTTTTTGTTTTTAATTAGTTACTTTTAAAATCCCTATAGACCCTTTAGCAATATTCCATGCGTCCCTTTCGTCACCACCACGACAAATTAATATCAGGTTTTATCAACAAATTTTTGGATACAAATATATACATGTACTTAACTTAAGTATGTTGAACTAATGGTAAGCAAGTAGAATTAACTATAATTTTACTATGTTGAGTAACTAATCTGTAAACTTTAGTATATTTATTACAAAATTAATATATTTTGTATGGCTGGAAAGTTCAGAAACATTAAAAATAAAATTTATAATATCTGCAACTAGAAAGGAGAGTAGGACCATGAAATTGGGACCAGGTCACCAACGCGTCATGAGAGCGACCATTATTATTTCCATTAGAAAAAAAAATTGAATAGTGAAACAATTATATAATTGAAATGGACACCATACATATGATATATAGATGACCGTTTCTCAGATATGTCGAGTTTTGACTGATTTTTTTTTTTAGATGGAGTTCAACTAATTAACGTAAAAAAACTACAAAAATATATTTTAAATAACAATTGCACAAAAATAAGAAAAATGTTTTTCCGTTTGTATAAAATCTGTTTCTCAAATTTTTAATTTTGGATCATTTCGAGACTAGTTGCCAATGTTTATGTAGTAGTAGTACATATGTTTTCTTTAACAAGTTCACGAAAAAAGAAAAGGTTTATGTAGTATGTTTTAGGTACTGTCCCGCCGTCCTGGATTATAAACAAAACACCATAAATATCAATGATATAAAATCATTGCTAGTAATATTTTAAAATAAAGCAAGATAGATAGATAGTTTAATTAACTGGACTACTCATCATATACATATTCAGGCAATCTCAAACATGGTTAACGTCCATTTTTATTATGTCATGAGACTCATGACTCACGAGAAAGATCTCGTTACAAAAATAGAAATAAAAGTTACAAAACCGCCACAATAAAATAAATAATAGAAAGAAAGCCAACCATAATAAATAAGTTTCTCTCTCTTTACATATATATCCAGTAAAAATATTAGTTTAAAATTTTCGTATTCTTTTAGTTGTCTATTACAGTAGTTAGAGGAAATACTCTCTATATTAGCGTACATTTTAAAGGAAATACTGTATAAAGATTAATGTCGTTAAAAAAAGAATTATTTGTTGGTCGTAAAAAAGTAAGAAGAAGCTACATATGCTCATCATCATCATCATCTTAAAATTGCTCGAGAAAAAAACAGAAGCAAATGATATGGTTTACGAGATCACCTTTTGATCACACACCGCATCGAATCAAAATACATATCAGCAACAACAACAAAAACAATAACAAAAAGAAGTATGTATTAAACGCAATAAATGTATAAAAATCAATCGGTCGATGTCAATAAGTATAGAACTCAGCCAATTCTTCAACGGATCCTCCTTCTTGACCAGTCTTGAGCATCCACAACAAGTGCTCGAACAAAACAACTTCACAAGCTACAACGATCTCCCGATCTTGTTCGACGGATCTAGAAGACCGATCCACTAGTTCTTGAAAGAGTGGGTGCGAGATGATGTCTGGCCTAAGCATGTAAGGTCTTCGAGTTTGACCAACATAAACAACATGGAGATTGTTATCCTCTGAGAGCTCATCTGAGACAGCGGCAGAGGAGGATGAGTGGTGGTGGTTCTTGGCAAAGGAAGGCCATTTCTTCATCGCCGACTTGAGTTTTGTCAGCTTCCCAACTTTGGCCATTGCTAATGAGATTTTATTGGTTTGGAATATATAAGTAGTTGTTGGAACTAGGTAGGGTTTAGGGTTTTATGAGGAAATTTATGTGTTTATGTGAGTGTGTGTGGGTCAAAAAATTGAATGAAGAAAAGAGAAATGTTTTGAGATGTTCTTGGGAGGAAATAACGAGGAAGGTTCGTGTATATATATTGAGTGAGATAGAGAGAAAAAAAAAACGTATACATGCATGACCCACCGATTGATGCATAACAGCTAAGAGAGATGAGGACATAAATGGCAAAACTAGCATCTTCATTGCCCATTGTTTTTTCCTTTTTTTTTTCATGAACCACAACAATGTTGAAATAATATTAACTTTTAATAATCTTTGGACCAATGTTTCAAAAAAATTCATTAACAGTAAATATATAATAACAGTTAAAGAGAACCAATTAATCTTGATATTAACATGACAAAACTATTGAATTATATATATAACTTGCCTATAACACTTTGTTTTGAATACAAAAATCTAATACAGCATAAATCAAGTTTTGAAATTTTTTAATAAACATATATACATGTTTATTATGTAATAAGTTTTATTTTTATTGGATATTAGATGTAAAAGTTACAATATAATAAAGAAACTGATTTATAATAAGGTTGAAGATATATACGTATACGTGTTTGTGGGTGTGTGTAGATGTGTAGGCAACCTCTTATTGCGTGTTGTTGTCTAATGATCGGACAAAGAGTGATGTTTTTAAGATAACGATTACATCTTGTCCACAATTTTGTTGAATATTACCTGATAATGCTAATTGTTTGTCGTTCATATATACCAAAATGACAAATATGGTCTTCATCTGTCGACTAAATTTGTTATTCTAGAATCATTTGAAATAACTTGTATTATATATAAATATTCAAAACAACCATAAACTAATGAAAAATCGTAAAATCATATATTGTAAGCAAAATAGGTTTTTCAGAATATTATTTTTTATGACGGATGCAACCACCAATCATATCACAAGGCAAATTTTGTTCTTTTAACAAAATACAGTCCTCTTATTCAGTGCAAATGCATTTTTTATTCATAGATATAGTTATAGAGAGCAATATTTATCAAATATGCTGAGAAATTCTTAAAGTTAGTTAGTTTGGTATTTCCCGAGAAATTAGGTGGAGAAGACCTTAGTACCTTACCGTCTGTCTTTATCGAACAAAAAAGTTGTGGATGGTAAGCTAATCATTTAAGGAATTTTAAATACTTCTTTTTTAAATGGTCGAACATATACTTATTTTATTATTTATGGCAAAATTAATCAAATAGTAAGATAGTACTGACTCATCATTAGACATTAGATAACTGTCCAATGTCATATACTTATGTAGACATAAAAAAGACCTAACAATTTTGATCAAGGGTGATTGTTTCTCTTTTTTTTTAAGTAGTAGGGATTTTTGTTTTGTTTAAAAAGTGAATTAACTGAAGATTAAAAAAGGAAAATGACACCAGCACCTCTCTTTTTTTTTATGACACACGCACGTATATGCATAGCACATACTGTATATGCTTATGCATATATAATAACACATGCATTACATGATAGAGACAAGCAGACTGAATTTTGGAATACTAATTACTTCCGATTTGTAATCATTGTAATGATTTGCTTAAATCGAGTTATACTCAGTATTCGAAGGTATAATACTTTTAGCATTATCTTTCTATTTTAATTTGTCTTCAGATTGAAATATATTACCATAAAAAAGTTAGAAAATTATTTCTTTATACTTATATATAATTTATTTAATTAAGAGAACTTCTTAGGTTATACTTTAATTTTAAACTAAGATCGAACATAAAGTATAGACAAGCCAGTTGGGATGGTTGTTCATGTAAGTGCGCGGCAATTGTGCAACTAATCTACTTTAAGTTTTTTCGGCTTCGTCTAATTATAATTATCCATATTTCATGCATTTCTTACATCGTCATAAATTATAAGTTATTGTTTTCTTAAAGAAGTGTGTCTATAATTAGTCATGATACATTTTTAGTTTAATATTTGTCGATCTATGAATATTCATTTTAAATTGAGATGTCTAGTACTGGTGTATATTGATTTGACCTACTACATTTATGGGTTTGGAAATGTTATTTTAAGCATTGAAATAGATTGTAAGGTTCGCTTTCTTCCCCGGTAAAGTAGGATTTAATGGTTACATATGAACTAAGCATGTCTTAATCATACCACTCAATTGAAGATCTAAGACGATATAACTCACTAACCAATTAGTATTACCACTATATCAACTTGGACTCGCACGCCTGTCATAATGCCATCACTATAATAAGGATAAATTATCAGAACCAGTAAATGTAACGAAAAGAACTAGTACTCAAAACTGATGAAACATTTATTGTTAAGGTTAGTTAATTTTGAGAAATGGTCTTAAGTGATTAAATTAAAACATAATCGTACAATGTTTTTTCCAAAGATACTCAAAATATAAAGTAGAAGAAACAAAAAAAAAATAAATGTCACAAAATTGGAGTAATTATCTCCAGCATTTCGGTATAATAATAATCAACAACAAAAGGGCCTTGCATAGCAAGCAACGAATTTTACTCTGATGCTTTGGTCTTCTTCTTTTTCTTCTTTTTGGGCTCTGAGGTTACTTTTTTCTTAGACTTTGAATCATCCTTCTCGTCTCGGTCTATCAAGTGCTCGTACTCTTCAAGACTCGCAAATGGAGATTTCCGTTTTCTTTTTTCTTGCTTTTTCTTCTTACCACCATCATCATCACCATCACTATCATCATCACCATCATTCTCAACATCTTCATCAACATCGTCATCAACATCTTCACCATCAAGCATGTCCATGTCTGTGTCCATTTCTGCATCACTCACATCAGCCGCAAGCTCTTCATCATCATCGCCGGCTACTCTATCCAGATCATCATAATCATATTCACCACCCTCTTCTTCCACAGCATCATCATCAACATCATCCAACATATTCTCAATCTCCTCATTGTCACTCTCATCACCAGCCTCGAATTCAACATCACTATCGTAGTTTCCGCCACCATCACCATCATTCACATCGTAAAGTTCTTCAGCAGCTTCTTCTTCAGGTAGCTTCTTTTTCTTCTTCTTTTTCTTTGATGGCTTTGTACTGTTCATTTTGTTCACATAGAACTTGTGGAAGACTAGATCTTCAGGAGACACATCTTCTTCTGCTAACGAAAGAATCTCAGATCCAATCATATGGTTTGACATGTCAAGCTGCACATGAAAAAGAAGAAAACCGTTACAGGTGAAAGTAGATAACAAAATGATTTCAACTTTTGGTTGTTGAAGCTTGAACTTTTTTTTACCTTCTTGGAAGGTTCGATCTGAGAGCCACCATGCCAGGTGTTTTGCTTTGGTTTCTTCTCCATGAATTTATCCAAGAAAGCACTTAGAGATAAATCGTTCAATGGGTTTCCGTTGTAAACTATAGTAGTTCCTGAGAGAAGGGTTCCAGCCATTGTAGCAACTGAGGGGTGGGCGTGTGAAGAAAGAACCACCAACTCCCACCAGCTCACACGGTCTCCGTTACTGTTAATTTGAGATCAATGATTCAGTTTCAACCAAAAAGGCTATAATAATATCAAGAAAGTGCTCAACTATTTAGATGTGAGTATGTAATTATCGATACTCCAAACCTAGCTTCTGAGATTTAATTGGGACAAAAACAGTTTAGTTTTAGCTTTGATGAAAGGTAAGATAAACTAACCAGTAAGAAGGTTCTCTATGGCGAGGATCGTATCCTCCAGGAAGGCAACTTGATTTTAATGGCGGTTGGTTTCTTCTTTCGCTATCATTAGAAACCTCCATGGTTTCTTCAAGCTCATGGGGCGTTTCTTTAATGAATAGCTCCTCCTCATCATCAGAAGCATAATCATCTTCTTCATCAGATTGCCTGACCGCCAAGGCCTCTTCGTCATCCGAAGAAGCATCATCATCTCTACTTGTGAGTTTGCCACCGTCACCGTCATGATCAACTTCAACATCATTCCCTTCTTTCTCTGCTTCTTTATTGGGATCAATATCGTCTTCCTCTTTCACATCCTCAAAATGTTCTACATCTTCTTCTTCCTCAACTGATTCCCTCAGGACCACCATCTTCCTGCATGGTTATTAGAAGGACCCATTGAATAAGCGGAAAATATCCATGGATAAATATGATCAACAGAGCGAAAAAAGCTTACCATAGAGGCGGTCTTGCTTTTAGCACCTCAGACAGAAGGAAAAGGCACCCACAGGCGTACTGTGGTGGCTGCTGAAGTGCAACCTACGCAAGTATTCAAGAATGAACTTTAGAGATAATAGACAAATTTCCTATACAGTGTGCTATTGCCATCACTATGAATGAAACTAGAGCGACCAAAGGTGGGGTTGATGAATCATGTATTCATGTTACCAACCTGCAAGACTCTTTTGGAGAAGGCAGCCACACGCTTCACATTTATATCGTTTTTCATGGCTCTGAGAAGAAGCCCAATAAACATTTCAGCCTGAAAATTAGGAATGGCAGATTATTAAACAGGGGAATGGAACGTAGAATCTGACATACCAGTCGAGTCACCTTAATGTTTTGATCATAAGATAAAGTAGCTTTTGCAAGATTAGAAATGTGTGAATTGTACGTATGAGAACATTCTGAAACCAATTACGGGCTCTACCTAATTATGAGAATAAATAGACGCGATGGAAAAGTAGGAAAACAGAAGCTTTAAAATTTGGCTTGCCTTGGAAGAATTCATTGCGGAGGGAAGTAGAAGTTTTGAGTACAATGCACGGTAAAATCTGTCACTGACAATCTTATTCTTAGATGAGATCTTGTCAAGAAGCATCAGTGATTGAACTCCCACATTGAAATTCTTCGAGTGTACCTGCATACATTTAAGAAGTCATTTTTTATTCATAGTTTCTGGTTGCAACTAATGAAACTTAACTTATATGATGAAGCTTTAGGAGTTACCAGTTTAAAAAGCACCGGCGTCTGGGATTCAATTATATCATCGGCCTCGTCAGTGGAAACATATGGAAACGCTCTGTTAACTCCCTGAAATAACGGAGTAATAAAGCTTAAGTTGATCAGTAAAATCTCAATGCTATATAATTACATGAGAACATCATATATTTTTCAAAAAGAAAACACATCCGGACTAACCGTCAGTAGAGCTGATAAAATTCTGGAATCCAATTCAACAGGTGAATCAGAGGACTCCTCTTGTTTCGTGTCATTTGGTTTGGCATTTTTCTTATCAGCCACTTTGCCATCTGCGCCTGGTTTCCTATTTGCTTCTGTGGTTAAAACCTACAAGAATGGAAACACAATCATGTGTCTCAGACTAATGACACTCCAAACCAAACATTAAGGGGAGGTAGAAGTCTCGGAGCTCATGAAAGGAAGGTGGAGATGGCGGGGAAAAACTTTGAGAAATAGTTAAAAAAATGTTTGATTTCTCATATATATCTACTATCTAGAGTTTGGATGCCAGTGATATACCTTAAAGAGAGCAAAATATACATCAATTAGGCGTTTTGCAACCTTTGGATCATCTCCTTTGTGGCTCAATCGAATCTGACTCAGAAAGTTAACCTGTGAAATTGACAAGGGTTAATAAGCATGGTTTCAGAAAAGCTAAGCATTGATAAATTTTATACTTCTCTTCTTCTGTCGAGTCTCAATAAAATAATTTCCCATTCCAGTCAAAAGAAGCCAAAACGATAACAATATCAGATGAATCAGTTTAAAGATGCGCAAGAAAATAAAGAAACGTGGTTATCGTGAACCTAAAAAGAGTAGAACAATAATAAAAAGAAAAAGAAATCTGTTTGAGAATATGAACAGTAAATAAAAGGACATACGGCGTGATACTTTGCACGTAACCCAAGATGAGGACGAAAGAGAAAGGAGTCAACTTCATCAATCACCACAGCCTGCAAAAATAATTATACGCTTAAGCCAAAGAGAAGAACCCACCAAACAACGAAATAATGAACGAATCCCAAAACTGGTTGAATAGCCGTACCTTCATATTAGGATGATCAGCCAAAAGATTCGTCAGGTGAAAATCAGCATTAGATGCACTCTTGTTTTGAGGATCCCCCAACTGTGTAAAGTAATACATTGAACAATTATAGTGATTACAGTTGATAAATCTGATTACATACAGATAATTCAATGAACATTTGACAATACCTTGTTCACCAATGACACCAACAATTTCCGCTCTTGTTCTGATTTGCTTGTCAACATGAAATATATAGTCTGAAACCAAAATAAAAATAATAATCAATAACAATAGTAAAGAACTAAAGATCCTGATCATGTTACTAAGAAAAAAACCAATCGTATCTACTGAAAAACCAGACCTCTACCGTGAGATCATGCATCATCCAGAGAACAGTTTACAATGATACATCCAAATGTCTAATATGATAACTCATCAAGAATAAAAACCTGGAGACCAGTGCTAGTAAAGAGGCTATGGGGTGGAGTGTGGTCATAAGCTATACCTTTAAAGCCCTGTCTTTTAGCTCTGGGAGCATATCCTTAGATGATTCATCAAGAGCGGTGACAAAGCGCTCATACCTACAAAGTCAGCATAGTAAGCTGTTCAGTGAACCATCGATCCAGAACAATAATCGATAAAAGATACAGATCTTCGACACATCCCTCGTGGCATGATTTAAGCAGAATACATTTCGAAAGCTTTTGGAGAGTATATTCTCTCTGGTAGTAACAAGGCAAAAGTTCTATATTTTTTTCATTTGTCTAGTGAGGCCATAAAGAAACTTAACAAGCAATGTAATTGGGAACGGACAACTGAAAGCAAAGTGATAAGATTATTTTTTACCTCTGTTTCAAGCATTCCTCCCAGTACCAAAATAGCAATAGCGAGTAACCATCCTTATTTTCCGGAATGCTGTTTAAGGGTCGCTGCAAAAGTGTCTTTAGCTTGCGATCAGGTAACAGCCTGGAAGAAAGCTCAGTTAGTGAGACAAGACCGGATATGATTATGGACGCATACACATAAATTTATAGCTCAACGAGAGAGTAAGAACAATGTGCCTGATCAAAATTTCTGATAGAGCCTTAAGACCCCTAAATGCAAATCGCTTTCCAACCTTTGAGGTCACCATTCCTGCAATGAAACAGCTCCAACAAGTCAACAAGTGGTTGAGTAAAGCATCAAAGAAATGCTTCAGAGGATTCAACTAGATAGGCACTCGATTCGCAATTAAATTATGAAGATAACCAGAAACATACCCAATAAGGCATCAAGAGACCTCATATTTGCAATGGGGTTCTCTCCGACCATGATCTCAAAGGCAGTGATTTTATCAGTTACTGTCCCTGACTTTTGTGCAGAAATCACCATCTTCATGTCACCGCTCTTCCCTTTCGATGTTACAAAGTCCTCTGCGTATTGCCACATCAATCTCTCTCCAAGCTCCCTCTTCTTCTCCACCACACCCATCAAATCCTCCTTGTTCGTCACCGCCACTTTCCGGTGATCTCCTCCACTAAAGACCTTCTCCTCCAGCTCCTGTGCATCATTATACCACTCCGAGCTCAATAAACTCGCTTTCACCAATGGTAGCTTAGGCAAAGTCTTGAACTTGTCGAAACGTTTCGCCTTAAAGCCGGTGTTCTCATCGTCAATCGATAAAAAATCAGGCTTTGGCTTCGGATTCACGGTTTGTTTCGCCGCCGTATCTTTAGGGGTCTGCTTCCTCGCACCCAAATGCTTGCCAGCTTTATCTCCAATGTTCGATTTCGGCTTCCTTGCGTCTCCCTGAGTAACCTCGTTCTGGTTCTTCTTCTGATCAGAGCCGTCCTTCTTAGGCTTTTTCCGTTTCTGGGTCTGGGATTTTCCGGGTTTCCGGAAATCAGTGTCGTTGAAACCCGAAGAAGGCAGAGAGGAAGCCAAGCCGATAGAGGAAGAGAATGATGCGACCTCGGCTTTGAGACTATCCAAGTCCATCGATGGCTGTGATTCCGACTTTTTTTTGTGTTGTTTCAAAGCATATGCACAGGTTTAATCAATGTATGTGCTTTTGAGATCAGACACTTGAGGAAGAAAGAAAGAAAAACTTCAATACGGGAGGTTCTACAAAAGCTTTGCTAGGGTTTTAGGAAACGGCAACGAGAGAGCAGACCAAGAGAGTATGGGCATAAGGGTAATTTTGTATTTTATGAGATAAGATAAAACAGAGGCTGCGCTTAACAATTTTGGATTTTGGACTATCATAAGCCGGTTTGGTTAGTTGGGCTCCTGAGACGGCCCAGCCCAATCGTTTGTAAATCCATAGGATTAGAGTGACAATAATCTTCCGACACAAAAGAAAATGACAGGTTCATGAATCTAAATCAATACATGTATAGAAGTAGAAGTATGAACTACGTAAACTAATACACTAAGAATCGCTTAAAGATAAGCCAAAAGTATGGAATAATATACCTTTAGAAAGAGAAGAAAAATATATTGAAGAATGTATAAAATCATAAATCTGTGACATCAAATCCTAAATAAATGTGAACTCATGAAATTTGTTTATATATCCTAAAGTTTGAGTTCGAGATCTTTCGAACACCGTCCTCCTTCTTCGTCCTCTTCAATTAACATACTATCGTTATGTCTCTTCTGTTTGGGAAGAGTCACAGGCTGTCGCGAGGATCGTCCTGGCTCTACCGATGGATCAACCATTTGTGGCTTGGGAGGAAGATGACCACCGTTTTGGTTCACTTGATATGGAGCTCTAGCCACAGCCCTGAAATTCAAACATTATATACTTAAACTGGTAAATTATATAGTTCTTGTAGTATATGGAAGCATCCAAACCAAAATACAACAAACTAGAACGCCGAATGTTTTGTAACAATATACAACATGATCTTTTTACTGGTCATATACTACAAGTAGTTAGAATAGTTAGGTTTGGTTTTAAGCAAAGCAGAAAAACGTGGGTTGTTAAATTTTCACACACACACACACACAAAAACCCTTAGTTAAGCAAAAAAAAAACAAACGTTTTAGTTTTTTACTAATAACTTTCCTAATCCATTTACATTTTTACCAAAAAAGAAAAAAACTTTCCTAATCCATAACGGTAAATAGTTTTTCACTAAACATGATACTAGATCCTACTCGAGCATTGAAACATCACTCTTCGAATAAGTTGAGCTAATTGTATTTAGCTTATATTAGCTATCAATTATAATTTCCTAAGTAAATTTTGGTCCTATATATAGTCTATGAAAATATTTCCGAGACGCAGCTTCAAAAGAGTGTAACCAGCTAATTCTCAGTATATGCTTTCTGACAAATCCTAGGTAAATAAAAAAACAGCTTCCAGTTTTGGTTCACCTGTCTTTTCGTTTAGCAAAGAACCGATGAAGAGAGGCTCTTCTTGCAATGCGTTCCACGACTTGATGTTGATGTTTTGTCTGATCATGATCATCGTTGTTATCAGAACTCGTTGGCTCGTTCAGATCAGGTATCTCCACGCTGCTTTTGTTGCTGGTGGTGTTCATGTCGAGATCCATGTGACTCTGAGTTTTCTTTGAATCAACAGCAACTAAACTCGCTTCTTTCGCTGCTTCCATTATCTCCTTGGCTTTGTCTTCAGGAAACTCGTCGTAAACCATTACTTTTCCTCCAAAGAATATGGTCAGCTGGGAATTTTTAGGCTCCGGTACTATGCTTGCTTGTACAATACTGAAACCAAATCAAACCCATTTGTGCATTGTTCAGACTCCACAGTCCACACATCAAACCAACCTTTCTCTAATTCAATCGCCACAAAATGCAAATTTTGAACTTATTAATTTAACACTAGATGTCTCATATATCTAAAATAATAACCTTGAAAACCAAGCACATATGAAGTATTTGTCTACGATACCTGAGATCGTCACCTCTGGCTTTGCCTCCGGAATAAGTAGAGGCTTCACCAATGGAAAGTTTCTGAGTAAACTCGAAGGGTCTGGTTTCCGACTCATCTGCCTTCTTTATCGCATTTTGTTGACCTAAAAACAATACAAAATAATACATTACTAAAAGCAAAAAGAAATGCAGTTTTCTCTACAATATAAAATAAGCTAATTTCCAGATCTACAGAAACATCATGTAATTTTTTCCATTTAAAACATGCTACAATAGCTTTAACTGAAATCGAATTTAATGGATTCCAACATTTGTTCTTCAACCCTATAGTACCTAAAGTGTAAACTATTCAATCACCAAATCATCCCAAGTTGGTTAATGATTTTTTTTTTTTTAATTAGATTTAAGGGAGGATGTTAAAACCTTTTACATTTCAACAAAGAAACAAAATTGGATTTTTTTATTCCTTTCAATTTTGGCCACAATTTTATAATAATACACGGCTATTCTGGATAATCAAGGAACCAAAGATTATTCAAATATAAGAAGATATAAAAGTCGAGTCTTTGTCGGCGGCGGCCGTCAGATTAGGAGAAGAAGAGAAATAAATACCTCTGATATTGGATTTTCCGGCGAGCACAAGATCGGATTTTCGAGCCAACTCAATATCTATATTCCCGAAACTTCCCTTCTCCTTCAAGTAGCGACTGAGCAAACTACATCTCCGGGAAAAAGTAGACTTCTCCGGCGCTTGTCCGGTAGACATACTGTGATGATGAGATTACAACAGCTCCAGATTCTTGTTTTTTCTGTGGGTTATACACGTATAATCGAAGATTACAACTTGCAAAATAAAATGTCTTATTGTCTTGAGCTTTTTTTGCTCATGTGCGTTTTATAAATAACCCATTCAAGCCAATAAAGTTTCTGTGGCTTTAACCCTCTCCCGAATAAATAAATAAGAAAACAAATAACATGTTTTTTCCTTTTTCTTATTTGCTTTCTGAAGTAGTGACAGTGACGCGTGTGCAATAAAGAAAATTTTGTCACGAGTCTATTTTTACACCTAACATATATACTATATGCAAAATCGCTCTACTGACACAATTTTCTTAGCGATCAGATCTGTGATGATTAAAGTCTTCCATTGTGGTGGTGATTGGTATAATAATATGATGTTTTTATTTTTCATAAATTCTTGTTATCCCGACGGTTAATCGGCTATATGCACTCACTTATTCGGCAATCTTTTTTTTTTTCTTATTTTGTTGGTTAACATATTTTTAGGCTATTAATTTTCTATATATCATCATAAACATAAAAGCTTAACCGCAGAAATGTCATCAAACTCTGGTTTATTTTTAAAACATAACATAAAAGAACTCCGGCTTATTTTTTTAATAAAATCATCAAACTCGGGTTAAGGAATGGATTATCTCTGAGAGGGAAAAAACATGATATTTTATGAAATAATTCATTTGTTTTGTACCGAGTTATCAAATTACAAAATAAATAAATGAATTCGTTAGCTCGAAACCAAACAAATTTCCGATACACAACTTGCAGCACGTTTTCCTTGCGCATGCCGTGAAATTTTAAAAAGGAAAAAATGGGTAGAAAGAGTTGACGGCGACGTTACTGAAAGCCGTTAACAATATCTGCCCACACAATATCTTCAGGCTTCAAGGTTTGATTGTTAAATTACGAGTTTGTCCTTCTGTGATACCCAAAGGCCATACTAACTGACGGCGTTTTCCAATAAAACGATGGTCTAACGGAGTGAAGTCATCACGTCGGCTTGATGGATATTTATAAAGAGATTAAATTTTTGTGGGACCCGTTAACAGTGGAACTTGTGTATCGATATTTAGAGAAGCTGACGAATACTTATCCCCGACACAGTTTTAGGGCACGTGAAAATATTGTTCTTTAGACTATCATTATTTAGCATGTCTACACGTGTCAAAATCTTAACGGTACACCCATAATACATGCATGATTTGCATTTTCCCTTACTTTTTTTTGGTTACGAAGGAGCGATGATTCAACTTTTCCCAAAATAATTTGTTTGCTAACCAAATGAACTTTCGTTTTTTTATCACAACTGAAAGCTTTGGTAAAACTTCACATATATCGAAATTCGAAACTCGAAAGTGAAAAGAGATAATGGAAACCTGTAAATATTTTACAAACATCTAAACTTCTCCAACTATATGACGCCTCAAGAGTCGTATATATCTTGTATTACTTTTATGCATTTTAATTTGAAAAACCTTTGTCAAAAAAAAACATCTAAATTTCTTTAATGTATATGAGCAATTTCTACTTCGCAAGTAGTCCTTATGATTTTCTTCTTTTTTAAATCGAAACATTACTACGACAAATTAAATTTTAGTCGTTTTGTTTAATGAGGTGTGCGTTGAAATTTCTTTAAATATTCTATAATAAATGTCGTAGACGATGGTGCCAAGGGGAAAAAATCATTATTATCTATCGCAACTTGAAAGATCTTATCGATGAGAACATACTATTTCTTCTTACTTTGATGGCTCTTCCAAATCTTCAACAGTTGAACAACAACTTGCATATCTATATATATATTTATAGATGTATTGCTGCTTCTAAATATGCTTACACAAGACAACAGCGATATTCATATCCATATATCTCTAATTTGGCACAAAAAATATTCATATATCTCTGAAGGGTGAAGGATGCCAAAACAACCATATCATAAGTTCATAACTCCGAAAATTCGTAACTACAATCATCATATCAGGTTATTTATAGATGGACCCCTAATATAAAATTGATCAATGTTCGAACACAAAATTATATAAATCTCAATATATATAAGACCACCAAAAAACCGGCTGATTAATCTTCACCCATGTTTAAAAACTTTTATCCTTTACTTTACTGTCAATTTTTTTATATTCCACCATGAAATATTCATTTGGTTAGTATGTTTTGTAAAATATTACAACATCTCATTACATAATGAAATTCAGATCATGCTTACCAAACAGAAACTATCATCTCTATATCTAAATTGTTGTAGCTTAGGTAATCTGAAAAAAATGACTCTGAAATTGTATAATTAAAGAGTTTATATGCTACAGTCAACTCAAACCTCTAAAAATTAATAGTTTATAGAACTATTCATATATCGAACATTATTAGGTTGATAAATAATTTAGAGAATGAAAACTTTTTAATTTAGAAAACATTTACTGTATTTAATGTATATACTGTATATGACGACGATATCATGAGTTTGTAAATATTTTTATTTTGACGTATCTTTCATATTTGCACAATTTTGAAAGATAGTATAAACACTCCTTTGCATTAATGTGTGACGGCCAAATAGATATTTGCCGTTTGCGTTTCAAACTTAGGGTGAAACGGAAGTAGATAGGTCTTTTACGACAGTGGCTAAGGCAAATAATGGGTTCTTTGACACCGACATATACTTTTGATGTGAATACCAAAATATTGCAGTTTCTTCACATGCTCCATATGTAATTTGACAATAACATATGCCTAGCTAACGATGCTAACAGTTTTTTTTGTCTCTTTTGTCAACAGATTTTAATAGTACTTTTTTAAAAAAATAATAATAACTTAAAAGTTGCAATATAGCTAGTCGTTCAATAATGTCATAATGAAAATGGCTTTAGAAGTAAAAGCTTTATAAGTTTGATTTCGTCCGTCAATTTTTTTTTTTTAAGATGCGATCATATATTTTGAGGTACACGTTTCTTTGGAATTGAATAATAAATAAAGGATTTGATGCAAATCCATTGCATGGTTTAATATGCTATAGTTTTGGTTTGGATTTGATTGTGTCATAGCTTTATAATTGAGTTACAGGTTCATCGATTATGTTTCTTGTACAGTAAAAATAAAAACAAATCACAATTCAGAAATGTCAGTACAATGGATTTGGTCATAGTCTCATAGAACATCCTTGTCCTCGTTGTCGCCTTGCCTTCCTCGGCTTTCTTGTTCGTCTCCATTCCCATTAACCCATTTGTACTTTTCAAAGCCTTAACATTGAATTCTTCTTACATCCTCCTTCCAAATAAAAGAAGATAGAAAAGGAGGATGAGAAGATGATATAAACATTATACATGATGTCACATAAACAAAAACCGTTATTACTAAGAGATTATAATCTTCTTCTACTTGTTATTAATTTCGAAACTGAAATCCATCGTTATAAACATAAAGATACATATGTTTGAGCTTCGAAATCAAAGTTATTTGGCAATGAATGAATTGACTTGTTTTTTTTTATATCAGGTTGGTATATTCACACAATTCAGACATGAGATCTTAACACACATCATAGAATAATAGTTTGGCTTATCCATCTCGAACCAAATTCCTTCTTTTATTTTGTGTGTGTGTCACTAATATTCATTTGGGGGTTACTAAGCTCTTATACAATGTTAAGCTTTGTGAATTTTCCATATGAATTTTTCTAAACTAACTGAAGATAAACATAAATCCCAAATAAAAAATCCTAATAAATAGTAGCATTGGGCCATTGGCCAAACAACAAAAAAAAACACATTTCCCAATTATTTCGTAATCGATTTTGCTTTTCTCAATCTTGACTCTTTCAACTTACATTCGCGCCATAAGCTCCTAAGTTTCTCTCATCCAATGGATCACAAATGACAAAGAAAAACACAAGACAGAGAAACAGAGTCAGAGCGAGAAACAAGACAGAAACAGAGAAAATTAGTAAATCGAATCAGCGACAAAAAAAACTACTCTGAACAAGAACATAAAAAAACACAAGTTTCTAAAAAAACCCCGGCGGCCTAGCTCCGGTTAAGAGTTAAATGGCCGTGGCCTGGCTAATCTGGCCGTTCGTGCTATCTCTAACAGCACTTTCTGCAAATTCGAGAACCGAATCAGAAGCATTGTTGAAATTCAAGGAGTCATTAACCAACACCAAGTCTCTCGATTCTTGGACACCAGATTCAGAGCCTTGTGGAGGAACACAAAGATGGGTTGGATTGCTCTGCAACAAAAACACAGTCTTTGGCCTCCAGATCGAAAAGATGGGTCTCTCGGGGAACATCGACGTCACACCATTAGCTGACCTACCCGATTTACGCACCATAAGCATAATGAACAACTCATTCTCCGGTAATATACCCGAGTTTAACCGATTAACCGCTCTGAAATCGATTTACTTATCAGGCAATCGATTCTCTGGTAACATCCCTTCTGATTATTTCGAAAACATGGTCTCTCTAAAGAAAGCTTGGCTATCCAACAACGAGTTCTCTGGCCTCATTCCTCTTTCTTTGGCCACTACATTGCCAAATCTAATGGAGTTACACCTCGAAAACAACCAGTTCATCGGTGTTATACCGAAGTTTAACCAATCGACTTTAGCTGATGTCGATCTCTCAAACAACCGGTTATCCGGAGAAATACCACCCGGTTTATCCAAATTCGACGCGAGGATTTTCGCGGGGAACCCTGGCCTTTGCGGTGCGAAACTAGCGACTCCCTGCACGCACACAAGAAATCGGAGTGCATCAATTTCTATAGAAGGAACAATGAAAGATGCAAACAAGAGCAAATACTATATAGCATTCGGTACACTAGGAGTCCTTTTTATCGTTATCATCATCTCCTTAGTCTTCAAGAAGAAGAAAAAGAAGAGACGCAGGAGGCGGACGCGTCGTACCACTGAACAAGACAGCAACGACGACCACCAGATTCAGGTTTATTCACAGAGCAATGCCTATATATATGAATTCACTGCTATCAAAAACGCTAAAAGAGAGTTTTTGTAACTCACAAACACTAATTCTTGATGTGGTTGATAGGTAACTGTTGATGGATCAAGAACTGGTGGAGAAAGGCAGAGTAAGACCAGTCGCTCCGGCGAGTTGACGAATAAATCAACGGCGGATTTGGTGATGGTGAACAAAGAAAAGGGTGTTTTTGCTTTGTCTGACTTGATGAAAGCAGCGGCTCACGTTCTCGGAAATCCCGGCGGTGGAAGTAGCCGTCCTAGCAGCAGCGGAGGCGTGGGGTCTGCTTACAAGGCGGTGATCGCGAGCGGCGTTACGGTGGTGGTGAAGCGTGTGACGGTGATGAATCAAGTGAGTACAGATGTATTCGACAAGGAGATTAAGAAACTAGGAAGCTTAAGACACATGAACATATTACCTCCTCTTGCTTACCATTTCCGGCGAGACGAGAAACTACTGGTGTTCGAATTCGTCCCAAATCTGAGTTTGCTTCACCGATTACACGGCGACCACGGCGAGGATTTTCAATTAGATTGGCCGTCTCGGCTTAAAATCATTCAAGGAATCGCGAGAGGGATGTGGTACCTCCACGAAGAGTTAGGGTTTCTAAGCTTGCCACACGGAAACTTGAAATCGAGCAATATATTTCTCTCCGACGACGGCGAGCCTCTCGTCTCCGAATTCGGACTCCAAAGACTGATCAATCCCGACGCTAGATCTCAATCCCTCGTCGCGTATAAATCTCCCGAAGCGGAACGCGACGGAATCGTCTCTGCGAAGTCCGATGTGTTCAGTTTCGGAGTCGTGGTCTTAGAGATCTTGACGGGGAAATTCCCGTCTCAGTATGCCGGTCTGAACAGAGCCGGCGGGACGAATTTGGTGGAGTGGATCGGCTCCGCCGTGGAACAAGGTGGCTGGATGGATCTGCTCCATCCGGTGGTCGTCGCCGCCGCCGCCGCCGATGATAAAGCGTCGTCGGAGGAGATTGAGAATGTTTTACGGATCGGTGTGAGATGCACAAGAGAAGATCCTGATCAGCGACCTAGTATGACTGAAGTCATCGACGAATTAACGATGGAAGATTCTAACGACGACTTCATCACCATAGAAACTTAGTTTCCACCGTCGCTTCTGGGATTCGATGAATATCAACCGTTAGATTCGTCCAGATTCACCAATTTTTGTTTTAATTATGCTTTTTTTTTCTCTTTAGATTTGTATATGATTCAAAAATTAAACTGAGGTTACTTGTAAAAGGGAGTTTTAATGTTTGGGCATAGATTAATATCAGATTGTTTTCGCGGTTTTTATTATAAACTTCGGTATTCAAATTCAAACACCTCAAAAACCCATTAGCGATAATGAAACTACGAAAGTCACAGATTACTAGATTAGTGAAATGGAATCAATAATATGCCTATATCACGTGTTTGTGTATACGTACGTGACGAAAAAATGATTAAAATAAAATATTGAAATTGTAGGACAGCTAAATCCAGCTGGAGATTAAACGAATCGTGAAATTATTATTGTTTTTTCTTTCGCTCACAAAATGATTTAATTATGGCCAAGATTTATAGACGTCTAACTTAGCAGACAACAAAAGACCCATCACTGTATTTGTTTTAATCACTCATATTCTTGGAACAAAATAATTATACTGAATACAATAATATAATAATATGAAATAGAAAATAATTATACGTGCATAAATCATTTTATTATTGGTTAAATTGTTTAGATAAAAAATAATGGATGTTTATTTTTGAAAAATAAAGAAATTTTTTAAAATTTTATATTTAAAAATCTTAAATATTCATTTTAGGAGTAATAAAATGTATTAATAGGTTTGACGCGATACTATATACAATAAAGTAACTCTAATAATAAATCTCTGCAACACTAACCGGGATAAATGAATATGAAATTAGTGCATTTCTCAAACATCATATTCCCTCCGTTTCATAAAGAGTGTCGTTTTAAAGTTTTATTTTTGTTTCACAAAGAGTGTCGTTTTATATTTTCAATGCAAAATTTGTAACAATATTCCAGTTTTAATCCTATTAATTTAATGTTTATTAAATGAAAACAAATTATTTAATGTAGTAATAAGGGACAAAGTTGTATTTTTAATAATTTTCTTAATATATATGAAAAATGTCAGAATGATATTCTTTGTGAAACGGATGGAGTATATACAATAAAATAAAAATACGTGATAATTATTAATCGACACATCTAATGACATTTGCTTACCCAATAAATGTTTTGCAAAGTGAGCTGTTCACATTCATATTTTAAGTACATTTGCTTAAAAAAGTCGTCGAATTGAACTCGTATTCGTATTTATTTATATGAAAAAAGACTTGAGTAATTCTCTCACTGGCTGAATCCAGCAGAGCACCACTCGTGCAACATTATTTTCTTCTCTATTAAATTGACTTCATGTTTCTAGACTTCCCATATCATTAACAGAGGATAATTAATAATGTTTCCCATGGTAAATTAAGGAAACGAAATGATTAAAATTTTAAAGTTATCCAGAAATTATAAGGCTCACCAATTATTATAAACTTATTAAAAAGGACAATTTTCTGAATTATATCCACCTAAGACTAAGCATTAGCTAATATTTCAAATCACAAAAATATATGATGTTTGCAATTCCAGGGAAAAAATAATTAGGATCTTTTAGTTTTTAATATATTTTGTTGTCTGAGTTTATGAATAAATTTGATTTGTCACCGTGAATCTTTTAAAAAGGCATAATGCATGGGAAATCGGGTGCAAGCACGTGAATGTCGGCCCATTGTAGCAGTCGAATAGTTGACTTAATTCATATGATTCTGGTTATTTAAAGAAACCAGATTAAAAAACAAAAATTACAGTAGAACTTGCACTAATTTAATTTGCAAAAGGACATGATTTTCAAATTAAGAAATTAATTACAGCATTACATTTGTGGTATCGATCAAAGTGAAGTGTTCTGATAAAATTGAAAAAGGCGCCTCGCATGGCGGTTAAGAGCTGTTAAAAGCATCTACAATTATATATAATCTGGATTTTATTTGTCCATTTTATTACTAGTACTATTAAGTTAGTAGTAATGAAAAAAGCATATATGATCATGAGTATAAAGCATCTAAATTCTACTGTTGCTTTTTCCAGTCCCTACCATTAGAAAAGGAAATCTCTCTATTTTACGCTTTTTGTTTGTTTCTTCTGTGTTTGTATTTTCTTATGAAACCATGGAACCTCAGGACCAAAGTCACGGCGGTGACGGAGGAGACTTTTCAGTCTCCGGATTCGACTCGGCGGAGAAGGTGATTATGCGGTGGGACGCGACTGCTTCTGAAGAAGCGAGGGAGAAGATGATATTCACCGATCCACAGGAAGTGAAGCTTTACCTCCACGCCGTCGATGAAATCCAACGGTATGTATCATCCGGCGGAGAAATTGAAAACCGAGCAAACTCGGCAATCCAGATCGCTATGGCTCGTCTCGAGGACGAGTTTCGGAATATTCTCGTTTGCCACAGCTCTCCGATCAACGCTGATTCTCTAATGTCGTCTTCCTCTTCTGCTCACCTGGAGGTTGATGAAGATGGGAGTAATGGTAACTGTAACGAGGAAGATGATCAGCAGGAGGAAGAAGAGACGGATCTTCTGAAACGGACCGGGTCTAGCTCCGGTTCAAGTTCGGGGACGGTTCGGTTGCCGACCGGACGAGGTAGCTACAGTAGATCCACTAGCAGCATACGCGAGATCGAGCTGATTCCGATCGATGCGGTGGTTTATCTGAGCTGGATTGCTCGGCGTATGGTCTCCGCCGGTTATCTCCGTGAGTGTATTCAGGTTTACGGGAGCGTGCGCAAGTCCGCCGTCGATTCGAGTTTCCGGCGGCTAGGGATCGAGAAACTGAGCATCGGAGATGTTCAGAGGTTAAACTGGGAGGCGCTTGAGCAGAAGATCCGTCGATGGATCCGAGCAGCTAAGATCTGTGTGAGAGTTGTGTTCGCGAGCGAGAAATTGCTCTGCGAGCATGTGTTCGAAAGCGTCGGAGCCGTCAACATCCACGAGGCTTGCTTCATGGAAACAGTCAAAGGTCCGGCGATCCAGCTGTTCAACTTCGCGGAGGCGATCAGTATCAGCCGGAGATCACCGGAAAAGCTCTTTAAGATCCTCGATCTCCACGACGCTCTGATTGAGCTTTTGCCAGACATCGAATCGGTTTTCGATCTGAAATCTTCGGATTCGATTAGGGTCCAGGCGGCGGAGATACTGTCGAGATTGGCGGAAGCGGCGAGAGGGATATTATCCGAATTCGAAAACGCCGTCCTCCGTGAACCTTCTAGAGTTCCAGTTCCCGGAGGAACGATACATCCATTGACGAGGTACGTCATGAACTACATTAGCTTGATCTCAGAGTATAGACCAACGTTAATCGATCTCATCATGTCGAAACCATCGAGAAGCGATGCAAACACACCGGAAATCGATTTCTCGGAGCTTGAGAACAAAGGTCCATTAGCTCTCCATCTGATCTGGATCATACTCATCTTGCAATTCAATCTGGAAGGAAAGTCCAAGTACTATAGAGACGCAGCTTTATCGCATCTCTTTGTCATGAACAACGTACACTACATTGTCCAGAAGATAAAAGGGTCGCCGGAGCTACGAGAAATGATCGGAGATCTCTACCTGAGAAAGTTAACGGGTAAGTTCAGGCAAGCCGCTACGTATTACCAAAGAGCCGCTTGGGTCAAAGTCTTGTATTGCTTAAGAGACGAAGGGTTACGCACAAAAGGAAGCTTTGCATCAGGCGTCTCCAGAAGCGCATTGAGAGAGAGGTTCAAATCTTTCAATGCTCTGTTTGAAGAAGTTCATAGGGTTCAATCGCAGTGGTTGGTCCCAGATTCTCAGCTAAGAGAAGAGCTGAAAATCTCAATCTTGGAGAAGCTTAGCCCGGCTTACAGATCGTTTCTCGGGCGGTTCAGAAGCCACATAGAGAGCGGGAAACACCCGGAGAATTACATCAAGATCACCGTTGAAGAGCTAGAGACCGAGGTTCTTGACTTGTTCGAGGGGTTATCTGCAACTCAGCATCTGAGAAGACGATCAGAATGAGAGATATGTGAGTTTTTTACTCTTTCTGATTTTTAGAGTTTCACGGAAACAGATTCTTTGAATTCTTTTCACAAAATTCGGGTTCTTTGCGGATGAGCCAAAAACCGAGCAAGAAAGAAGAAGGATTGATACGACTTTGATTTAAAATTTTCAGATTCATGAGTTTGTAATGTTGTATGAACTTATAATATCCCTGTTTGGTTACTTGCCAAATTCCTAGCTTAAACCTTTTTGGTTCATTTGTCCATATATGATGAAACTGTATTGTGTCAATGTCATATCCATTTTGTACTCTTATTCGCCATGGTTAGTTTTGGTTTTGGTTTGATCTATTCTCGTCATTCATAGACCAAAGCATATGTTACAAGGAAAAAACCAAGTTGTAGTGTAAAAATGCAACTTAGGGAAATGAATTTTAAACATTACATTGTGACAAAAAAAACATGGCACACAAACTAACACTACAACACCGAAGACAAAGGCTGCTTTGGTCTCTTGACCTTTGTATTGTACAAACTAAACTCACGTGACCTAAAAGACTACATATAGTAAAAATTTGAGGTGTCGATAAAGAGAGAGAGAAGTGTTAAGTAGAAGAAGATCGTTTGTGACTATAGTCTCATTACTTTACTCCCTTTTGTCTTCCTCCAAATCTTTGTCTGGTTCTTCTTTGTCACCTTGTAAAGATCTGGTTTCTGGGAGGTTCTTGACTTCATGAGAAGGAATCGGAGATGGTTTAATGAGGGTTAGTGTGTAATCGTCCTTCTCGAACTCCCCACTTGAATCACCAGAAGATCCAGAGAATGCATACCTATAAGCAGATAATGACGGTACATCAAGCTTCATATCGCATTTTCAATTGTGTTTCTTGGATATGGCCTTACCTAGTCGAGTTGTGAGATGGAGCCCAGAGAAAGCAGATAACCATTAGGAGCGAGAAAGAGAGAAGTTGCCAAAAGGCTGGGATGATCCAAGCGTTTTGCCAATGTTCGTTGTAAACATCCTTCGACTTGAAATAAAGCTGCCAAAAAGTTAAAAAAAAACTTTAGATACAGATCTTATTCTAGATTTTGAATAACAAGACAGTTGTTTGTTATATTACCTCGTAGCAAATCCAACCCACGGAAACCAAAATGGCTACAGCCAAAGCATTTGTGAACTTTCTGTATATATCCAACTTAACCAACAACCTTCTCGCCTGAAGCTTCTTGAACGTAGCAGAGAGCGATTTGAATATCCAAATTATGAAGAAAGCATCCAATATCGCAACAGGAAGAACGAAAAACAGTCGAGCTTTCCCTGAGAGATCGCTAATAGCACCAACATTCTCCATCAGTTCAAGCCCTTCAGATGCAACAAAGAAAGTGACCCCAAGCATTACAACCTTTGATGTAAATCCCCCGAGCGTAGGTCTGACAACACCGTATCCCATTGAAACCATCAGGATGATAATACGAGCACATGTACGCTTGATAGAACCGAACGTGACTGCCCAGATGGTGATCACGGTTGGTCTGATCCCTGTCTCGTTGAATTCCGCGTAATCGAAATACCAAAGTGCCATCTCACACATCCCTAATGTTATCACCAGGGTTAAGCAGTTCTGCAAGGGAAGCACCTCTCTCCAGAATCTAGCACACTGAGAGAACCAGAAGATGCCAAGCAGCACAAAGGCAAGCGACATGAACCCGTAAAAGTACATCAATGGAGCCATTCTACCTGGTAGGTAACCGCTAGGGTTTTTCCAGATGGTTTTCCCTTCTACAACTAAATCCTTGAGATCAGAATCACAATGAATGAAGTAGAGGTTGTACATTCCGGTCCTAGTGATCTGGATCGATCTTGTTGGCAACGTACCAGACAACTCGTTCTCACCCAACGAAACACCAAACACTTGTGGCCAACCTAAATCTTTAGCAGAAGGATGATGAATGATCTCTCCGTGTGAGCAAACACCGAGTTTCGCCAGATCAGATGTGCAACACACAGCTCTTTGCCCACCATAAGCTGATCCCCCAATGTTTTCCCGGTCTTCTACCTCAAACACCACGGCGTGGATAGGTAATGAGGATCGGTTAGAAACTTCCTCAGGCCTCCGGAATGTGATCTTCTCAAAACTGTCAATGCATTTCACCGTGGAATCAAGGTTTACACAAACAAACGAACACCGAGTTTCAAATTAGAAACTTTCACAGGAAAACAGCTAAAAACGTTACTCAAACACGACGTAAATTTCAACTCAGGGCACATGGTAATGTATACAAATAAACTGAGTCAGCTGCACAACTCGATGATGGAGAAGAAATGGCTTGCTTATCTTTAAGATCTAAAGCCCTTAAAGACTCGTCTGGTAACAATTCTCCAACTAATAATGACCCAATCGACGAACATTGCTCTAATTGAGTTCTGATCTCAAAATCAGATCCTAAGTAGATTTAAAAGAGGAAACTAATGGAATTACTCTGAACTTTAGAAATGGAATCAGATAGCTAAAGAACCCCTTAGAATTACCGGATAAAGGAAACGGAATCGGAGTCGGAGGTGAAATTGTCGGAGGGAGAAGAGGAGTAGATGCCTTCGCTGCCGCCATGGAAGACGAAGGCGTTGCCTTTGGTCATGAATCTCTCGCTTCGGTACTCATGCACCGACGCTTGGACCAAAGAAGACGTCAGGCATAGCAGAAGAAGAAGAGGAAGAAGATGGAGCAACATTGATAGCGAGTTTTCGCAGAGATCTGAAGAAAGAGTAAGGAGAAGAGACTTGATGACTGAGGAAGTCAGTGAGAAACTGAGATGTGTCAATGGGGTCGATCGTACGGCTATTAAAGGTTGCTACTTGATCGTTCTTCCAGATGTTCGAAGTTTTCTAAGTTGCAGTTGTAAAGTCTCTCGTACAGCCAGAGGTTTATAGCTGGTTAGCTTATATTTTCAAAAATGGGCCTTTTTAGGCCCATGAAAACTCGATTTAACTTTTGAGAAATAAGCCTGAGAAATTACCCAGCTTACAAATATACATCATAGTAGTTTAATTACTGAAGTCTCTAGTCTACTATTAGTTTGTGGAAAATGTTATATACTGCAGGATTCGTTTTAATATTTTTGTAACTATATAACTTCAAACTCTATAATAACTATAGTTTAATTTTTTTGTTGTCGTAATTTTATAATTTAATGTTTATTTTATATGTTCAACGAATGGATTATCTATGGTATACTAAAACTTTTTTTAAGTACTTGTATTTGCCCTTAGAAAGAGATTACAAAATGGTAATAACAATTACAAGGCTCAGAGAAAAGTATTATTAACTGAGTACGTAGTTGTCTTGTCTGTGTTACAAGAAGAGAAAAAGCATGTAAAATTACTGAAAAATGACAGAACAGAGTGTGAAGAAAAAGAGGAACTCTTTAAATAAACTAAGGTGTCTTTAAATAATCTAAGGTTATCCACCTGAAAAATACACGAACTACATACATGTATGTATATATATTTTTCTCTTTTTATATATACACACATGTATGTAACAATATTCAGAAAAGTACTACATCTGATGTTTAGTTTCCAAAACATGTTTGGTATTATGGACCCAACCATGCAAAAAAAGGGAAATTTATGGGGATCTGCTGATAGATACCCAAAAACTTTCATCAGAAAGAAAAAGAAGCTTGATTGAGCATTTCTTTTATGATTTTTTGTTTGTTTTGATATCAGTGAAGATTCTCTATCTGCAAAAACAGAAGATCTAATATCAGATTCAGCATTAGAAAGAAGCAAAGCTAAAGATCTAATGAAATTACGACTCATTGATCAAGTTATATTATTACCTGTACTTTCTTGTAAGAACTTGAAAAAGAGAAAAGTGGATCAGATCTCAAGAACAATGACTGCAAACAAAAAAATGAAAAAGAAGAAAATCGAATTAGTTCATGTATTTTTCTTGTTTAATTTCTAAGGAAATTAAATCAAAAGATCTGAAACTCACAATCAGAATCTGTTTTGACCCATTTACCCCCATCGCTACTACTTCGTCCTTCTTCTTCCTCATCCTTCAACGAAAGCTGTTGCTTGTCTTGCAAGTATTGCATCGTTGATGTTTGCTTCGAGGAAGCTTGAGCGTTAGTCTTCTTGTGTAGCATCATTCTCAGCAACTGCATATTATACAATCCATATATTTACATATACATATAACAAAACTAATAAACACTTCAAGTAGTATTCGAAATCGTGTTAGTTAGTTGTACCTTCTCCATTCTCGATTCATGAAACGTGTCTCTCAAGCTAGGGCTAGGAGCAGGAGCGAAACCCTCTGTACAGACAAACATCTTCTTAAGAAGATAAGAAACAGAGGTTTTACTCAAATCTCTCTTACTCTTCTTCTTCTTGTTCTTGCTCTCTGTCGAAATCGCTTTGCATCTCCCCAAAATAACACTGATTGTACGCTCAATGTCTTCTTCCTTCTCATCAGAATCCCCACCAGCAGAAAGCGCGTTGCTGATTCGTCTATCGACTTCAAGACTCGAAGGACAGTTCAAGAATCTATCCAAAGGAAGATTCGCAAGTTCTCTATTCACATCGGACTTCCTCTTCTTGCTCCTTCTTGTCAAGAGCTTCGTCAGCTCTTTTTGCAGTTTCCCAACTTCCTCGGGAGTGAAATCTTCTAAATCATCGGAAGAAGATGAAAGTTCTTGATCTCTATGATCTTCCACGTTCACGTTAGCCGACGTTTCTTCTTCTTGAATCACTTCTTGATCTAGTTTTTGTGGTGTTTGATCTTTGTTCACACTACCGAACGTTCCAATCGCTAGTAATCCGTGAGGCCAATCGCTGAACTCCTCTCGCGGTTGATCTTAAAACAAAAGAAAAATATATCAGAGAGCCAATCGATGGAAAGGAAAAATGTTGGGAAGTGTATTCTGGAATTTACATGTCCCTAGTAGACAACAACTTTGGTTATCAAAATTTTTGTTTTCAACGAATAAGCAGACAATAGAATCTAGTTTGTTTAGTCTTTAACTTACGAGAAGGAGCAGAGGATATGCTTGGTCTATGAGTATTCCCTTGTTTCCCATGTAGCTTGTTCTGCATCCACCCAAATAACTAAACAAACAAAAACAAAAACAAAAAACAAACCCAATGTGAGTAATCATGTTACATTATCTGAAATCTATCGCTGAACCAGATCATATGAGTGATTTAACGAACCTTCATGTTTTAATGACCCAAAAGAATACGAAGAGGAGGAAAATGTAAGAAAAAAAAAAGAAACGAAATAATCGGGTTTCTGATGAATCAAGAAGCTTAAATACAAGTAGAAATTTAAAGAACTAAGAATTTGATATTTTTTTGATGAATTTGATGGTTCAAGTTCCAAAATTCACTGTATTAGTTCTTCGTCCAGATTCACTTCTTCAAAAGAAAGAAAAATAAGGAAGAAGAAAAATTCTTTGTTTTTTTAAATAGAAATAATCTCTAGTTGGTTGGTTTTGGTTTTAACTTCTATTCAGATAAAACCCTTTTGCTCACACTCTTCTTTATACAGCTCACGACGTACGGCTCATATCCCCATGCCTACGAGCGAGGTCCAAAGAAACATTCTTCCGTGCGTATTTAAAATAAAATTTAGCTTAATTAATATTTAATGGAGTATTATAACGATCTTGTATCGGAGAGAACGTCACGGCTTTGATCACAATTCATATAAAACGGCACTTCGTTTCATCTTAAAGTCCCAAATCTCTTTTTAGCATATTTCGACGATCCATAAAAGGAGAAAAAAAATAGATTGAATCCCTAGAAAAAAATTGTATCGTCGTTGAATGGTTACTATGCTGACACGAAGATATGGAGGCTTCTACACATTTTGTGTGTGGTTTTCCATGGATTTATCATTTTTAATAGATTCTAATTTCTATATGGAATACTTAATTTCCAGAGAGTCTATGTGGGTGAAATATAGGTTTTAACTTATAAAATAGGTAGAGATATATAAACTGAAAATGTTGAATATGTTACTTAAGATATATTTTTGTTGTTGTTTGAAAGTGATACTATAAAACATGACAAATCAACAAAAATGATGAAGAAAAAACTTAATTGTGTGACCTTTCACTCCCAATTGTAAACTAAGGAGTATTATATAATGGAGAGAACGTTTATACTAACCTAATTTATTGCAATAAAATACTACATTTTGCGTTTTGCTGTTTGTGTGTGATTTACTAACAACTTAATACTATCCAAGTTTAGTATATTTTGAACCATTCGCTTTGGTTCTACGTGTAAATTGACTATTTGTAATTGTTAAATCCGTATGATGCAGATGGAACTTATAAAATGATTACGTAGTAATGGAAAAAAATATGGGAAAGAAAGTTCTAAATACTAGCTATCAAATGTCTTAGTTACCATAAAAATCAAACGTCATGAAACACAAGCATTTTGTATGACTTGTCGTTCTAATTTGTGATCCTACCTATTATTGTGAAACGTGTTCTCGACCTAATATAATTGCACTTTAAAAATTTGATCCACTCGTACCCTTATCAATAAAAGACTATATGAACTAATATGCACACTATTATTGTATGGCTAAGATCAAATTATAGAGAATTTTAGAAAATTCTAAGAGGGAAAGAGACAGAAAGAAAGAGTGAAATTAAAACAAGCAAACCCCACGAAGGAACTCATGCCATTGTCCCCTTGCCCTCTGGATTTCTCAGATATTAGTCTCTCTATACATTGTATATGATCTAATTCTCTGTTGTCCATCAAATAATTGAGTCATATGTTAAGATAAGTTGTAGGGCGCGTAACACTTTTTATCTAATCATCGATATATTACATTTTCCATGGTGCATGCCACTTAATCTAGTGTTACGAAGCTGTGTATATATCACCTTTCCTTCCATTAAGTACATCAAAACTCTTCGTAATGAAAACTAAACTCAAACCAATCACGAGTTTTATAATGGCCATATATCTGAAAGAGATTTGTGCATATCTAACTATATCGATTTTTGATTTAATAAGCCACTGGATTATTACCGGCCTCCTAAATTAAATATGATACTGCATCGTTATTTCATTCATCATCCGGTTGACAATATGTTTAAAAGATTTTATTTGCATATACGTATTTCAAACAGTTTTGCCTCGTCACTTGGTTCTGAATCTTCTTCGATCGTGCAAAATCTCACGCAGGAAGTTGCATTAACTTCTATTGCATTAAAAACAATTGACTGTATTATAAGATTAATCTTTATACTAACAACAGGGAAAATCGTTATTCTTAAAGTATCATTGTTAAGTCTTTTATTAAAAAAAAAAAAGAGATTGCTTAACAATTATGTACTCAATTCTTTTTTTTTTTGGGGTTATTTCTCACTATTACTTGTTTTTTTTGCCCAAGTACCCTTCTAGTTATCAATTTAAAAGTGAACTATGAATATATTTTTTTGACATCATAGTGAACTATGAATTAAATTACATAATAGTACTATAAAAAGAACCAAAAAAAAAGGAAAACAGAGTGAGAAGTGAGAGAGAACGAAGAAGAAGAAGGAGACAGAAGGAAAGCAATAAAAAGCAGCCCTCGCTTTATCATCGGAGATTTGAGCCCACCCACACCACTCCCAATCACGTGAACTACTTAGGTCCAATCGACATTTGCCACGTTGTGCCTGCTCATGCCGTGTCACTTGTCGTAAATCGAACTATTTCTGCTAATTAATCACTTTTGTAAAATAAGTTAGTACAATTTTACTGTAGATAAAATGATAAATAAAATAAAAAATGGTGGGAGAAATACTGTAATGGTCCATCTGGGTGGGTCCAAGTGTGTATCCCTTTTCCCAAAGAGGTCGGGTTGACTTTCAACGGCTACTATCACGTCCACATGCACTTAGCCAACTTCCAAGACGTAATCGTATAAGTGTAAAATGAGTTTGATTGGTAATATTTTATTGTAAGTATATTGTTTGAATGATAGAAATGAATTATAGCGATGCTTTCTCTGGAATCGATTTCATTCTCATGTTAAATTTATGCGTAGTTAGCATTGATACCTAATATATAGAAGCTATATATCCGGAATACATGTAAGTTATATATAGCTCGTGTTCGTTTTACACATAAAATAGATAAATGAAAGAGGGTTATCAAAATCCAATGGCGTTTCATGTTACCAAATGAACTAACATCATTGGAGGAAACATGCATATCTTATTTTGTCCCCACGAAACTTTGTTTTTACTTCTACTTCTTCTCTCGCCTTCTTCTCTTTGATCTCATTTGATTGTATTAATATTTAATCAACAGTATCTTTAGCAAAATCGAGAGTAATTTAATTAGTGTTTGTGGCGACTTGACGCTTACACGCATGCAATAAGAGTCTATTACAATTTATAAATGGTTGCATTGGTATATAAAATGAGAGGGAAATGAGGGTAATAAGTGGATTAGGGACCACTTAAACCGCCATTATTGCAACGAATGTGTGGTTTATATGGTTACTACGCTGCCTTAAACATTTGCTAATCGTGATTAACAACAAAAGTGAGGTTTTCAGATGTTTTGTGATTTTAAACAGAACACGTGTAAGGCATCTGAACTAGAAATACTTATTTTATGAAATCACCGCTAGTATTATCAATGTACTATAACTTAGCAAAAATGTACTTATGTACTACTATATACACGAATTAATCGTCATGCAACTCGTCAGTCAGATTTGTCAAAGAAGGAAAAAAAAACAAAAATATAACTAACTTTACATTAAAACTCAAAAATATCACTTATTTTTTAGAAAACATATATATTTAAGATGACAGAAAGAGAATATATATATATATATTCGTGCTTGTTTCTAATTAATGCATTTTATGCTACTACTAGCTGAATTATTTTTATAGAGACGATAAATGATGATGTTTTAATATTAAAAATGATTTTTGAAATTTATATGCAAAATTCATAAATATCTTTTACTTTGATATAGAAAAAAAATGTTAATTCGTGCGAAACACATCAAAATGACACTTAATTTTAAATTGAGAAAGCGTAAAATTTCAACCAGAAATATTTGTTGACAACTTTAAAACAAACTGAAGTAAGTTGGAAATTGACAGACGGTCTAGTAGTTGTAAGATTAAGAAGGAAAAATTTTAAATTACTTAATTAGAGGGAGATAGAGAGAGAGAGAGAGAGACATCGAGATGAGAAAAACAGAGAAGAAAGAAGAAGAAAATGGGGTGGAAGCACATGGAGTGAGCATGACGAGGTCTCTTTGTGTTTTGTAACCTTTCCCTTTTGTTCTACCAAATCTTTCCTTTTCTGGAATGTTTTCTCTCTTCCGTTTTCCTTTCTCTCAATCTATTCAATTCTCCCCCTTCTTCAATGCCCTTTAATAATCTACTGTTATCATTAATATATTTTTATAAACAGTCATTCTCATTGGATCTCAAATCTGTTTGTCTACCAGTCAAAATTTACAGGCTAATAGGAGATATAAAAGAAAATAATGTCGGGGAATTTGTTTACTGTCTATTGGCTTATTGGTACTTGTTCTTCGTCTCTTTATGAACCTGAGCACCGAATTTGTATTTGGATCTGTACTGATCATTATCCTCTTTCCAATATTTGTTTTTTTTTTTACATATGTAACTTAAAGTACTTGCCTCGTTGTAATTCATATACAATATTTTGTTTACCGATCAAGATCATATTACAGCTGGATTCAAAAGTATTGATTCTACGATTGCCTATATTATAAATGGCAACACGTAGAACATATACATAATTTTAACTAATATCTGCTAAGGTGTCTGTTTATATAAGCGTTATATAATTTTAACCATTACCACTAGAGCTCCATTACCTAAAGAGGGAACTTGAACAGAGATGAGATTCAAAAGATGATCAAATCATCAATGTTAGAGTCCGATATGAAACCCAAATTTCACTTAATTTTTCACAATCAAATCGACAATCAAAAATTCAATGACTGTATATTAGTAGTCTAACTACATTAGTAATATGTATTTTCAAACTTGGTCTACATCACAACTCTGATCACCACATATATACAGATTCTACACATTCTAATCATATTACTTCACTTTTTTTTTTTCCTCAAGAAAGTAAATCCATCTATTATTGAATTTACATTTACATTTTATATTTGTGTTTCTTACATAGCAATGTCCTGAATT